GACGTTTGGAACCATATATGATCATTATATGTAAACATTTCGGCACATTTTATTTCCGGGCGAAAAAAAAGTCAAAAAATTCAAAAATCGAAGGCTTATATCCACGCTTATTGAGAAATTTTGGAGTGTTCAGGGTCGGTGTCTAAGAGTCTAGAAATTCTAGGGAATACATCTCGTGGTCATATAATGTCATTTGGACCCATATATGATCATTAATTTTTGTCATAAATGTTCGTGGTAGGCTTGAGTTGATGAAATCGGTGCAAGTTATAAACCGATAAATTGGTCGTTTAAAGGTAAATTGGATTGTTCCACACACCTAATTGGACTCCGAGGGGGGTATTAGAGGCCATGGTAAATATTTCGGCAATTTTTAATTCCAAAATTGGCGGCTAATATCCATGCTTTTTTAGATATTTCGAAGGATTCGGGTCCCGGTGTCGAAAAGAAATAAGATTTTAGAGATACATCTCGGTGTCATATAATGCCATTTGGAACCATAAATGATCATTATATATTGTCATAAATGTTCGTGGTAGGCTTGAGTGAATGAAATCGGTGCAAGTAGTAAACCGTTAAATTGGTCGTTTAAAGACAAATTTGATGATCTCTTCTTCCCAATTGGACTCTCGGAGGGTATTAGGGACCACGGTAAACATTTCGGAAATCTTCCGCGCGAAATAAAGTTAAAAAATTCCAAAATTGAAATCTACGCTTTTTGAGAAATTTTGGAGTGTTCAGGTTTCGGTGTCGAAAAGTCTTGAGATTCTAGGGAATATATCTTGGGGTCATATAATGTCTTTTGAAACCATATATGATCATTATATGTTGTCATAAATGTTCGTAATAGGCTTGAGTTAATTAAATTGGTGAAAGTTGTATACCAGTAAATTGGTCGTTTAAAGGCAAATAGGATGGTTCCACCCACCCAATTGGATTCCCGGAGGGTATTAGGGACCATGGTAAACCTTTTGGCAGTTTTTATTTCCGGGCGAAAAAAAGTAAAAATATTTTAAAATTGAAGGCTAATGTCCACGCTTTTGTAGAAATTTTGTAAGTTTAGGGGCCCGGTGTCGAAAAGCCTTTAGACTAGAAGGGATACATCTCGTGTTCATATAATGTCGTTTAGAACCTTATATGATAATTATATGTTGTCATAAATGTTTGTGGTAGACTTGAGTTAATGAAATCGGCGCAAGTTGTTAACCGATAAATTGGTCGTTTAAAGGCAAATTGGATGATTCTACCCACCCAATTGGACTCCCATAGGATAATAAAGACAATGGTAAACATTTCGGCAATTTTTATTTCCGGACGAAAAAAACTCAAAAAAATTCATAAATTGAAGGCTATATCCATGTTTTTTGATAATTTTTGGAGTTTTCGGAGCCAAGTGTTGAAAAGTATTGAAATTTTAGGGAATACATCTTGGGGTCATATAATGTCTTTTGGAACTTTATATCGTCATTATTTGTTGTCATAAATGTTCGTGGTAGGCTTGAACTAATGAAATCGGTGCAAGTTGTAAACCAGTAAATTGGTCGTAAAGGCAAATAGGATGGTTCCACCCATCCAATTGGACTCTCGGAGGGTATTAGGGACCTTGGTAAAAAATTTGGCAATTTTTATTTTCGGGCAAAAAAAAGTAAAAAAATTCCAAAATTGAAAGCTAATATCCACGCTTTTTTAGATTTTTTTGAGGTTTCGGAGCCCGGTGTCGAAAAGCCTTTAGATTATAGGGGATACGTCTCGGGGTCATATAATGTCATTTGGAACCATATATCATCATTATATGTTGTCATAAATGTTTGTGGTAGACTTGAGTTAATGAAATCGACGCAAGTTGAAAACCGGTAAATTGGTCGTTTAAAGGCAAATTGGGTGGTTCCACCCAGCCAATTGGACTTCCGGAGGGTATTAGGGACCTTGATAAAAATTTCGGCAATTTTTATTTTCGGGCAAAAAAAGTAAAAAAAATTCCAAAATTGAAGGTTAATATCCACGCTTTTTTAGAAATTTTTGAGGTTTCGGGGGCCGGTGTCGAAAAGCCTTTATATTATACGGGATACGTCTCGGGGTCATATAATTCCATTTGGAACCATATATGATCATTATATGTTGTCATAAATGTTTGTGGTAGACTTGAGTTAATGAAATTGGCGCAAGTTGATCGAAAACCAGTAAATTGGTCATTTAAAGGCAAATTAAATGGTTCTACCCAGCCAATTGGACTTCCGGAGGGTATTAGAGACCATGGTAAACATTTCGGCAATTTTTATTTACGGGCCACAAAAAGTCAAAAAATTCATAAATTGAACGCTGTAACCACTCTTTTTGAGAATTTTTGGAGTATTCGGGGCCCAGTGTTGGAAAGTCTTGAAATGGTTGGGAATATATCTCGGGGTCATATAATGTCGTTTGGAATCATATATGATCATTATTTGTTGTAATAAATTTTCGTGGTAGCCTTAAATTATTGAAATCGGTGCAAGTTGTAAATCGGTAAATTAGTCGTTTAAAGGCAAATTGGATGGTTCCACCCAGCCAATTGGACTCTAGAAGGGTATTAGGGACCATGGTAAACATTTCGGAAATTTTTATTTCCGGGTGAAAAAAAAGTCAAAATATTCCAAAATTGAAGACTAATATCCACGCTTTTTGAGAAATTTTGGAGGTTTCGAGTAATCGGATGGGGTTCAGGTCGGTAAGAGTTGGTCGACTCAACTCGAGTCGGGTTAATTCGGATTAATTCCATAATCTATGCGGGTCGGGTTTAGGTTGGGTCATGCTTTAGTAGGGTCATGTCGTGTCATACTTCTTATCGGGTTTGGGTCGGGTTAATAACATGTCGGGTTACATTCAGGTCGGGTGAACAATAGGTCGGATTTAATTTGGGTTTTCACGGGTTAGTGTGTAATTCTCGGGTTCGATTCGTGTTCGGTTCAAGTCAATAATTTGCGGGTTATAATCAGGTCGGTTCATTCTCGGGTTTTAGTCGGGTTCGGTTCAAGTAAATAATTTGCGGGTTATAATTAGGTCGGGTTCGATTCAAGACAATAATTTGTGGGTTATAATCAGGTTGGGTTATTTTCAAGTCGGGTCATTCTCGGATTCAAGTCGGGTTATGTTCAAGTCAATAATTTGCAGGTTACAATGAGGTCGGGTCATTTCCAAGTGAGTTCATATTGTGGTTCAACTAACTGTAAATAAATAATTATCATTTTTATCAAGCTAATTATTTCCTTTGACTATAATATATATGGAAATATATTAGGGAACTATATAGTTTATAATTTAGAAAGATAATTATCTCCTTTGACATACAACAATTATATACTATATTTAATTTTTAAATTTGAGGATGATGTTTATTTCTTTTGCTGGCCTGGACCGACTTGGTCTCCTTAGACAAAATGCTTTGATCAACAATAATAAGGTGGTCTAAATTGAATTTAAGGTGATTTGAAATCGGGTCAGGAACAATTTGGGTTAAATTTAGGTCGGGTAAATAACAAGTCGTTTTGATTTCGAATCGGGTAAGTAACAGATCGGGTTGAATTTTTGAGTTAGGTTAGTAATAGGTCCGATAAAATTCGGGTCAGGGCAATAACAAGTCGGGTTGAATTCGGGTCAGGTCAATATCAAGTCGGGTTGATTTCGGGTCGGGTTTGTAACAGGTTGGGTTAAATTCGGGTCGGGTAAGGAATGGTTCGGGTTGAAATCAGGTCAGGTTAGTAACAAGTCGGGTTAAATTCGGGTTTTAACGGGTTAAAACGGATTTGGGTCAATTTCGGTTCAAGTCGGGTTCAGTTTCAGGTCAATAATTTACGGGTTACATTCGGTTTGGGTCATCTCCAGGTCAGTTCATGTTTGGGTTCGGGTCTCACATACTCGAGTCTAGGGTTGGTTTCAGGTCGAGTCAGGTCGGGTTTGGATCACCATTTTTTCGGATTTAGATGGGTTGGTTAATAATCGGGTTTGAGGCGGTATTTCGAGTTAGGTCAACTTTTGATAGCTCTAGTATTCTACAAGCAATATGCTATAGTATAAAAATACTTGCCATGCATACAAAAAGTTTACGTAGTAGAAACCTTTTTTCTCCGTATTATAAACAAATTTCACAATGTGTTTGTTTCAAACCAACTAAACTAGTTAACAAGTAATTAGCAAAATTAGATTAACCGCGAGACACAAATAAAATACTCCATTATAAAATGAAATAGAGCCCTTGAACTCAGTCATCAATATTGCCTAAAAATGTTTGATAAATGAATATGAAATATCATTATATGAGGAATTTTAAAGGGAGGAATGTTAGGCATTTAGAAATGCATAACAAAGGGTATTCATGTAATTATACATATGTAAACGAATAAATATTCTGATATCATTGGATGATCAAATGGTACCATTGAATATACAGTGATACTATATGTGCACATAATGATATTATATATATGCATTCAATTGTACTAAATTTATGCGTAGATAGTACCACTGAGGATTCAATGGTACTATATAAACTTTTAGTGGAGCAATCAGCATGTGGTCCCCCATCACGTGATGCAATCCAACCAAAAAATATATGTGGTCCACCTACATGCCTCTCTCTTCCTATCTCTCTCCTCTTTTCTCTTTCTACCATGTATTTTTATAATATTTTAATAAATGTTATGCATTAGTAAATGCATAACTTTTCTCCATTTCTAGTTCCTCATCATTATATCCCTCCTACTAAAATGTCTGGCCATTAAGACGCGAAAATTATTTGATTCCATTACATGTGGCAGTAGTCGACAGGGCATCATGGATAGGAGAAGATTTAGTTTATTGGATGTATCCCTTAGCTGTTTCATTTTAGTTTGATTATGACAATCCATTAATACAACCTTTATAGTACTTATGAGCTTCACTCCCACTGTCCCCCCCTCTCACATGTACTATGATTTTACAAGGTATGCTACATCATTTCTTCTGTTTTCTATGATAATTACATCTTTTTTAGGAATATTCTAAGTTACTATTCTTAGACTGTCCTTTTTTTTTTTGATAAAATCTACTGTTTAATGTTGCACAGCATATTTTCATCTATGACAAATCTTTATTATTATTGTTAAATTATATACATGAAATTAAATTATCCAATATGGTTTAATTTAAATATAACCATGTTCTAAGGTAATACCTTATATAAAAAGAACATATTTATGAAGTTATTTTTTATTTTGGTGAAACATATTTATGAAGTTATTCTATGTCTTTTGATGAATGTTTAGGTAACCATTGATACTTGATAGTGTGTTCGAGCTTCGAATGATATATGCATGCTTTGTCAACGAAGAGGATGGCTGCACCACTACCTATGTCCAGGAGATTCAGTTCAGAGTTCCATGTTGTTCAAGACGGTTTCAAGTGTTCGTCTTCAGCTTCAACTATCAACATTAGTATGAAAAACAATAGTCTTTTACCATATAAAGATAACATCTCGAGTAAATCGAGGACAAAGTTGAGTAGAAGGTTTAGTTTTTCAACAGAAGATGATCTTGGAAAGAGGTGTTTCCAAGCTAGTAGTGCTCAAGGATCACCCTGCAAGGATGTTTTAAGTCCTGTTTTTTATGCCTCAGAGTCCGATTTCACGGATAAGCATAAGAGTTCTTTAGAATTATACTTGAAGAAACTTCAGAGCCAAGCTAAACAGGTTTCACAGGATTATGACAGTGATGTTTCCGATGTGGATGATCAAACCAGTCAACTGTCAGCAAGGAAGGAACTTGGACTACTCGAGAAGTATTTTGAATCAGTTAAAGAAGGTAATTAGATGTTAAGGGCTTAAGTAAAGGGCTTGATTGTTGTAGTTGCGAGTTTTCAGTATATTTGTATGTTGCATTAAGTTATGAATCTTCAGAAAAAATGTGAAATCTTACTGTCTTCTCCTCCTTGCAGATGGAAAGTCTGAAGATGGTTTGTCATCTTTTCCTGACAGAAATGCATCAGGCAAGTCTGATGAATCTATGAGCATGAATCAGATAAAAGGCATGGCAATACAAGAATTTGAGAAAAGCAGTAATATTGCTAGGAAGGCTGCATCATTTCCTATGTACGACGAAAAAGAGAGTGGCAATCTATACCTGATGTAATTATCTGCTAAGATTCTGCTGTAATTTTCTGTTAGTTTAATGTCTGCTTTTTGTTGATTTAACAATTTCTCCGTACTTTCTTACATACAGAAGTACGTTGCTGTCGATAAATATAGCTGTGTTTCTGTTTGAGATAGCTAGTCCAGTAAAAGGCTCAGACTACAACCTCTATTCACTGCCCCTGATGTACGGTGCCAAGGTTAATGATTTGATCATGGTTGGCCAATGGTGGAGGCTTGTCACACCAATGTTTCTGGTACACGATTAGTGATTTGGTTCGTAGTTCCTTTCTGTTTTGTGTTTGATTGAAGATATGTCCTTAATTAAATCTCTAGGATTTGTTCTTTAGGCTATTCAGACTAATCTGTGGCCTCATGTAAGAAAATCTGAGCATAATCATGAGAATATAAATAATTTTAAGCTGTCTGGATTGAGCTCAGAATGCAGAAAGTAGTGGTTGTTCTCTGACTCCGAGTGTTAAATAACTATAATTCCATCCATCTGAAATTATTATTCACACATGATGGTTCTTAATAATGTTCGTAAGAAGTTGGTCACAATTCCTAATATAGTGATGGTTTATGATTAGAATTCTCAAACTGGCAATACTTATAGCCTTAGAGGAGCATGACAGAACTGAGTTAACTATTATAATGTCGTATTCTTGAATATTAGTATTCAGATTATGTGATTTTGAATGATCAGATTAATTCAGTGTATACTACTAATGTAACCAGTTGATGTATGCAGCATTCAGGACTTTTGCACATTGCACTTGGGTCATGGGTGCTTCTTTCTTTCGGACCTCAAGTTTGCAAAAGATATGGCTCGTTCACATTCTTCCTGATATTCATTCTAGGAGGCATTTCAGGAAACCTCTCAAGCTTCCTTCATACATCAGAGGCCACTGTTGGTGGATCAGTAAGAATTTTGTTCCTCTTTGTTTCCTTTTCTTTACTCCTATCAACAATTGCTGCTGTTACTGACTTACCAAGTCTTGTACGCCATTTCTAGGGACCAGTTTTTGCTGTCATTGGAGCTTGGCTCGTTTATCAAATGCAAAACAAAGATGTAATTGTAAAGGAACTGTCTGATAGTATGTTTCAGAAGGCAGTCATTGCTACAGCTTTTAGCTTTTTTCTCGGAAACTTTGGGCCTGTGGACAACTGGTAAGTTGCTCGGTTCTTCAACTCTGTAGGTCACATCAACAGGCCTGAAATTTATCAGAAAACAATTCTCTGAAAGTCTCAATTTGTTAACTGTGGCAGGACAAGTCTTGGTGCAGCGGTATCAGGAATCATATACGGGTACTTAACATGTCCTGTGGTGCAAGTAGATGATGCACCAGCATCTGCCATGCAAGAAAGAAATAGTGGGATGAAAGAAGAAATCACACTTAATAGCACACAAGCAGCTAAACCCTGTAAATCTTTTCTCATTTTCACAATTTTTGTTTCTGCTTTGAGCTCCTTGCTGTTAATTGCTGAGCTTTCGCTTGATAAACTGGAATTTGAAGAGCTTATCCAGATTATCGAGTAATTTTCTTCCTTTTTCTGTAAGATAGCACCTATGCATATGTTACCTATACAGTTCTGTAACATAAATAAAATGTTAGTGTGTTACTTTATAGATATTATACTATACTTTGTATATAATGTGAGCAAGTGATTGTTATCAATCTTATCATAGGCCTCTACGATGTTTAGACTTTCAGGAAACTAAACAAACTTGAATTAGGAAGGCGATTTACCAGATTAACTTGACCGTAAACAATTGGCATATGCACATAGCTTGCCTTACTACCATTCTTGATGCCAAGTTCTTTTCCTCATTATTAGGCAAGGTGAGTGAAAAAAGGATTTCATATAGCCTAAGTTGAGACAAATTTGGGCTGGACAATCTACTCAAAAAGGCTCGAAGCTTCAGTCCATAATAAGCTGTTTCATTGGGCTTTTCTCTTGCCAAACCCAGCCCAAAAACCCAAAAAATAGGCAAATTATAATATGCACCATGGTGCACCTTAAACTATGTGCTCCACCAATAGATTAACGCCACATATTAATTTGCTAGCTGCAGTTTTCATCTTTCAAATTCTCGGCTTTCTTCCTCTATTATTTCGCATGTCCTTCTCCTTTTCAATTATTTCCTACTTTCTCAATTCCTTCTCTTCAATTCTCTTCTTTTTTAATTCTTTTCCCATTTTTAATCATCATACACAATTTCTCTCTCCTCGATTTTCTCTCTCCTCAATTTTTCTCCATTGTTGATTCCTCTGTTTTTTATTAAATTTGTTCATCACTGCTATTCATCGCGATGGATTTAATTTATGTACTTGAGGTTCTCGACACTACAGGTTAGATTTCTTATTGTATTTGATAATTATCGCTAATTAGGTTTTTTTGTTGTTGATGTTAGTTATTGATTTTTCATTTTGCTGTTGATTCTAATACTTTTTTTGAGTGATTGTTGATTTGAAGTGACTGTATAATTTTTAGGTTTAATTAGTTTTAATATAATTCAATTGATTAATTGATGAATTGATCAAACAATTGATTAATTTTAATTAAGCTGATGAAATTTGCGATGAGATTTTGATTTCTCATTTTTTTATTAATTTGTGATGAATTTGATCATTTGTTGATTAAACTATTAAACAATTCTGTTAGAATTTGTTTAATATGATTTTGAACATTCGCTTCATATTATCACTTAATGCAGAATTTATGTGATTAATTAGTTATTGTTTATTAATTATTGATTAATTTGAGATTTAATGTTAAATAAGCTGCTGAAAGTGTGTTGAATTTCATTTTTTATTTTAATTGCTTTTTTTTATTTTTGATGATTTTCAGTTTCATTTATAATTTAATTGTTGAATTGATGATTTAATATGTATTATATGAATATAATTTGTTTATATCATGTTTTTGAACATTTTGTTCATATAATTTGAGTGACGCACTTTTCATTTTATTTATTATCAAAATTGTTATTAGCAATATCATATTATGAACACTGTTTCTATTTTTATGAACATTTAGGTTACTTTAATGAACCTTTTTGATTTACATAATTCTCTAAGCATATATATTATATGCTTTTTAAAAAATAATTGTAAACGTAATTATGAACATTTTCCTGTATTTGAACTTTGTTGTTTTATTTTTGAACTTCAGTAATGGTTATTATGAACTGTGTTTGTTTATTACATGTATAAGATATGAAGTCATTTATAAGGATAGTCTGAAGGTTGAGCAGCATTTTGAGCAGTGTCTTTAGGTGCGGAAGTTTTTGAAAGGTACCGGTGTTCAGTAGTTTGTGGTTAGGGTACAGAAGTTTTTGTAGGTGGTTCAAAGGTTTTTGTAAGGTGTTCAGTGGTTTGTGGTTGGGGTCAAGAAGTTTTTGTAGGGGTTCAGAGGTTTCTGTAGGGTGTTCAATGGTTTGTGGTTGGGGTTCAGAATTTGTTGTTGGGTGTTCAGTGGTTTGTGGTTGAGGTTCAAAGATTTTGTAGGGTGTCCAGTGGTTTGGGGTTGGGGTTCAAAACTTTTTGTAAGGCGTTCAGTGGTTTGTGGTTGGGGTTCAGAAGTTTTTGTAGGGGGTTTAAAGGTTTTTGTAGGGCGTTTAGTGGTTCGTGGTTGGGGTTCAGTGGTGTTTGTACGGTGTTTAGTGGTTTGTGGTTGGGGCTCAAAAGTTTTTTTAGGGGGTTCAGAGGTTTTGGTAGGGTGTTCAGTTGGTTGTGGTTGGGATTCAGAGGTTTTTTTAAGGTGGTTATAATGTTTTTGAAGGATGTTCAATAGTTTGTAATTGTGGTTCAAAAGTTTTTGTAGGGGATTCAGAGGTTTTTGAGGTTGGTTCGGTGTTTCTGGTAGCTTATCATAAATTCTAGGGGCTTATCAGAAGTTTATGGGGGCTTTTGTGTAGCTTTTGGTATCTTATCAGAAGTTTCTAGGGGATGTTCAGAAATTTCTTGAAGGTGTTCAGTAGTTGGTCTATAATTAAATATTAAACAACAAAAAAAAGGAAATACATAATATCCAAATAAATTATTAATTCATACCAATATACTTGATAAAATTTATACGCAAATTATTACTTCATACAACACATATATATGAACTAAAAAGACAACGTATATGAACATCAAACATGAAATGTATGAACACAAAAATGAAGGTAAGGGATATGGAACGATTAGTATCAAATTTGCTAATTTTATTGCACAATCACCGAAATTGGTCAAAAAGCTCCCAAAAAAAAAAAAAATCTCCATTTTTTTTTAACAAAATACAAGAAACTTTATATTAAAGTGGATAGAGAAAGTTGAGTTTTCCCCATTGATAAAATTTTTAGAGCTTCTAGTAATTTAGAGGGAAACAAAAATAATCTTCAAAAAAAAAAAAAAAAAAAAAGGAGACAGAAAAATTGAAAAGGGTTGTTGAAAATTTAAATTTAGGTTTTCAAAGAATTTAGAGGTAGAAAAAAGAGAATATCAAAATTCAATGGTCAAAACCAAAAAAAAATAAAATGACTGGGCCTTTAGACTGTTGGGCGCGAATTTGCTGGGCTGGGCGGAGAATTGGGCCTGGTGCACCTATTTTTAAGTGCACCAAGGTGCATGTAATACCAATTGCAAAAAATAATCCAACAAATTTTTGACCTTGGGCCTATGACCCAACCTAAGTCCAGAATTCTAATTTCAGACCATCCTAGTTTATCTAGTCCAAAATCCACTATCATAAATCCACAATAATTTAGAATGTCACTATTAACTTATTAAGTAATGTTCCATACACGTATTACATTCATTTAAAATACCACCACAAACATGTACCACCACAAGGTCCACAACCATTTACGACAATTTTTCTACCTGGGATTGAATATATGAGAGTTGCTAAATATTTCACAAAATTGCACTAATCTCACTTTTTCACTATAGAGGAAGGCGTTAATCACTTCTAGGACATGCTAATGCTAAGAGGAATTTTATTATATTCCTTTTCTTTTAGTAAAATCAAAGTGCTCTTTACTCTTGGGATTTGTTAAACATCGCCCGCGTTTTTCTACATAAAGCCCACATTTTTTAAAAATGTTGACATTATTGCCCTTGTTTTAATTTTTACCGAAAATAAAATTTTTCACTCATAAAAAATGTGGAGCAGGACTGGATCGCCGAGTGAAACCGAAGAGCCCTCAACGTCGGGTAGATGCACCGGAGAGACGCCGTTGACGCCGGAAAAGGAGGTACGAAGCCATCTAAAACCACGAATTGGCGGCTGGTGTCCTGCCGGGACGCCGTGACCGTAGTGGTGACGCCTAGCCAGGACGCCGCCACCGTGGCTCTGGCGCCTGGCCAGGACGCCGCCACCGTGGCCGTGGCGTTTGGCCAAGACGCCGCCGCCACGGTGGCGGCGTCCTGGCCAGGCGCCACCGCCACGGTGGCGGCGTCCTGGCTAGGCGCCACCACTATTTTTTTTTTTTTTTTATTTAATTTAATTTAAAATTTGTTTTTTTTTTTTTTTGTGTTACAATTTTTTTCTTTTTTTTTTGGTTTTTTTTTTGTTTTGTTTTTAATTGTTTTAATTTGTTTTTGTTTTTAATTTATTTATTTTTTATTATTTTTTTTACAATTTTTTTCGTTTTATGTTTTTTTTTTGTTTTTATTTTTTTGGTTTATTTTTATTTATTTAATCTAAAGTTTTGTTTATGTTTTTTATTTTTGTGTTTTTTTTTTTTTTTTTTTGAATACTTTTTGTTTATTTCTTTGTTTGTTGTTTATAATTTATTATTGTTTTTGCTTTTGTGCTAATGTTGTGTCAAATGTATTAATTTAATCTACTCTTATGTGATTATATTTATATGTTATTGTTGCAGGATTATGGTGGAGACGGAAATGATTATAGTGGGATTTTTGTACACGATGGTCTGTTCGAAGATGCTCAACAAGCGGTTGATTGGGCGAAACAGGTTGCAATTAGATCAGGTTTTTGTTTAGTAGTAGCAACTCATAAATCTCAACGGGATGGTAGAATGGATCGCATTTTGAGATGCGACCGTTATCGCAAAAGGGAGGAACGAGATTTCAGTCAAGCGATTCGGTTTGATACAAAGCGGAAAGGTTGTGGGTGTCAGTTCAGAGTAAAGGTTCGACAACAGCAAAGGGGTGACGGTTGGGAAGTGAAGAGTTACGGTAAATGGGGGTATCACAACCATGAGATGATCGCATATGAAGTGGGTCATCGACAGTTAAGTGGCCTAAGTCCTGCTGCGAAACTAATTGTAAAAGAAATGAGTGATGCTCAAGTGAAGCCTGCTAAAATATTAGCATCTGTGTTGGAGAAATTTCCTGAAGACCAGCCAAACCGAAGACACATCTACAACGTCAGACATAAATTGAGGTTTGAACGGTCAGAGGGAAGGAACCCTATACAGCAGCTTCTACACCAGGCACAAGCACGTGGTTACCTGTACTGGTTTGAATCTGATGAAGACACATCGGAGGTGACTCATTTGTTCCTTGTGCATCCTGATTGTGCTGATATGATTTCGTCTTGGCCATCTGTGATTCTGATCGATTCAACGTACAAGACAAACAAGTATAAGTTTCCACTGGTTGAGATGGTTGGGATGACTCCAACGAACCAGAACTTTTTGATTGGTTATGCAGTTATGAAGGATGAGACGGTTGCGAGTTACCGTTGGGTGTTGGAGAAGTTGAGAAATTACATCGGCCCAAGTGTTCAGCCATCGGCCATCGTCAGCGATTGTGAGGGAGGTCTCTTTGCCCCTATAGCGGAGCTGTTTCCGGAGTCGAGCCATTTACTGTGCACATGGCACATCAACAAATGCGTGAAAGTCAAAGCCTAAAACCTTTTCAACAAGAACTTAGATTCAGCAGAGAGATTGGTAAATGGTAAGTGGCGGAAGATCCTGCAAGCTACCACGGAGGCAGAGTACGACCGAGCCTTGGATAACTTCAAGGATGCATACCAATGGTGCCCGGCAATCGTAGACTATGTGATGCAGCAGTGGGTGCCTCAGAGGGAAAAGTTTGTCAAATATTGGACAAACCAAGTTCTTCATTTTGGAAACACTACTACATGTAGAGTTGAGAGCGCTCATAGAGCTCTGAAGGACTGGATTGATTCTTCCACCTCTGCTCTGGATACACTGTTCGAGAGAATAAACAAGGCTATTGATACTCAGAGGAACGGCATCAAGAACTCTCTCGAGGACTCCAGACGGCGACATGGCACGATGTATAGCCATTTCATATTTAAGATTCTCCATGGTCGTGTGTCACACTACTGCTTGGGGTTGATTCTGAGCGAGCACACCAGGATGAGGGAGTTGGGTGATGAAGTGGCTATTCGGTGCGGATGTGCTATATCGGTGACTCATGAAGTGGTCGTGGTCGTGGTCGTGGCCGTGGTCGTACATCGTCATCAAGTGGTAGTCAAACATCTTCGTCGGTGAATATGCCCGGCACCGGTACGGTACTTTAGTTTAATTTACTTTTTAGAGTGTTTGTTTAGTTTTCTGCTAACTTGTTAATTGTGTTTTTTGATGTGTGCAACAGGCAGAATGGACATTGAACATTTTCCATATAAAGACAGGATCCCTAACATCATGATGCCGTTCCTGGACGGGTGGAATGATGTGGTTGCAGATGGTAACTGTGGATTTCGGGTTGTGGCTGATGTGTTTCAGATGGGTGAAGACAACTACGGTTTAGTGCGTCAGTTGATGTACAGTGAAATCGCCTCAAACCGAGCTGTTTATCGCCACGTGTACGGACAGGACTTGGATAGGTCTCTGCAGCGTATCCGGTGGGGAGGAGGACGTTGCGGTCAAAATCATTGGTTCGACGCGCCCCTTGATCTCTTCGCCGTTGCAAACATCTACAAGTGTGCAGTGATGCATTTCGGCCTTGGTTTGCATGGTCGAGCTTACTATCCGTGTACCACGGTTCTGCCTTGGTGTTCGCGTGAGACCGTCACCAGACCGGTAAGAGAGGTTGCTATTGGATTTCTGGGGCCGTCATACAGACATTTCATCCGACTGGACCTGTCACCCGATTTTCCGGTCCCACCGATTATACCAACGTGGTACACCATTCGTACAGCAAGCGTAGAGGGCTGGGATGCGTTATATCATGACCGGGTGCAGCAGTGGAACAATCTAGTTGCCTTTTCTATGTGACCTAATATTGCTATTGCTATGTTTTTCCCATTTATTTAATTTTCGGATTCTAATTTTCGTATTTAGTTTTCCCATTTAAATGTGAACCTGTATTTAGTTTTCGTATGCCCACTAATTACAACTTAAAATAAAAGTTATAAAAACTAAAAATATAATGTCAAATTCTAAGAACTTAAAATAATAATTATAAGAACAGATAATGTTAACTTTTACAAACAACTAGGAAAATGTTTTATAAATTCACTGCCGACATATCAATAATCTCTCTGTGACGCCCACTGCCACTGCTCAAGGGCCCGTTCCAGTTCATCAATAACAGCTCTGCCTGTTGCAGTCGTCATGTTGTCCCTCTCCTCAAAAAGTCTGTGTCCCAACTGCGTCATCTTTCCCATCCACTACACATAACAAAACACATAAAATTCAATAACGACGTATTATGAGACGTATTATATGAAAAAAAAACACAACTACAAATGTTTTATGAGACGTACCGCATCCACGGCAGTGGGCGGTGGCACATCATCATCATCGGCGTCGTCGCCGTGGTGGACGTCTCTGATCAACCTCGGGTGCGAGTGCCGGTTGTACCACTCCATGTAGTGCTGGTCACACATGGCAGCCACCCCAGTTGGCGGCCGCTGCAACTGCTCAATCCATATGCGGGCAACCATCGGAAACTGCTCCCACGTGCCAATCATGCTTGCCGGCCATTGGACGACGTACTCCTTCAACGACGCAGATCGGACGGCCTTACTGGGCCATGCTGGTGGAGGAGGAACAACTTGGACATATCCAAGCTGGCGAAGACAGCGCTGCGGCATGTACGCCTCTACGATCTCACGATACTGAATCAGTCCCGTGTAGAGGGTCCTGGGTACCCTATTACTAGGGTTCTGGCCGAAAGGCATCCAGTTCACCTGCACATTTTTTAAAATTAGTAAGATTCATACAATAAACACATCAAACTATAAAAGTAGAAATAATTTAAACACTTTACCTCTAATGGGGACATCCTGTCAAGCAATAACCGTATCGATCGCAGGCGGTCAATGGACTTCTTCTCGACACGCGGACTCCACGCACAGGCACGTGGCTGGCCATCCCCAATAGGAACCGGGTCGCGGTGTGGTCGAAACGCCGGGAAATACTCGTATATCCACGTCTGTAACAACGTCATACATCCAGTGATACCTGCCGCATCAGCCCGGCTCGAGAATCCTAACTGGCGATACATGTACGCTAATGTAGCCGACCCCCAAGAAAACTGGCCTACTCTGTCGGGCTCACACGCGTCAACTATGTCGCGTGGCCTGAGCTTGTTTCCGCTCTTATCCGGAAACAAGGTACACCCGAGAAGAAGAAAAACATATGCAGCCAGCTGTGTGTCCTGCGTCCTACGTGAAGTGGGGTGCAAACATCGCTGCAAAACTGCTGCGATCTTAACACCGCCGTGATCCCACACACCAAGTGCCGCTGTGTACAGCGCAGCCCTATCCACCGCCAACAGCTCCGCCAATAAATCTGCCTGATCCGCATCTGTGACAACAGATGCTCGGTTTCCCTCTACGGGAATCCCAAGGATGGCCTCGACGTCATGCAACATGATCGTCATCTCACCGAACGGAAGGTGGAAAGAGTTCGTGTCCGGCTGCCATCGCTCAACGAAAGCCGTGATCAGCGTCGAGTCAATCCTCTCATGCATGGTGGCAGGAAGGTGGCTCACTCTAGTGGCCCTCAATCGGCCGACCATCTCGCTCTCCTCCGGCCAAGCCTCAGCCCAACTACACAAGAAGTTACAAGTCCTCTCCCGGGTTTGGCATTTCAAAATGCCGCTATCCAAAGCCCGCTCTTGGTCCTCCCAAATACGGGTAGCGATGTGTCCTAGAAAGCTAGGAATCACACTCCCGTCTATAGGTCCCCCAGCCACCTCGCCCCTCACCACCCAAGAATCATTAACGGCCCTCGACCGTTTTCTGCTAACCGCAGACACAGTGGACGCAGATGATGTGCCAGATCTACTAACAAATCTACCATCTCTACCCTTACGCACGTCTACCCTACGCGTCTCATACACATCATCAAGCCTCTGACTGAATGGACCGTAATCATCATATGGTCCACTCTGATCGTCCACATCCTCATCTGCATCCTCCTCCTCCTCCTCCTCATCACCATCATCATCTTCATCATCCTCAGAATAGTGCACCCGTTCTCTACGAGCCGAGGCCGAAATACCACGGGATCTAACGTGTCTGGGCCCCGAGCTCTCCATTGAGTTCATCGTACTTCTCATAATGTCCATACTCTTCCCAGCCCCAGAACGAAAATACGATGCCTAACACAAAATAACAAAACATGTAATATGCAATATAAACATGTAATATAAACATAAAAAAAGTAATTAAAATAAATAAATAAAACAATATACATATGATGGAAAATAAATTAAAAACATTACAAAATATTAACAACCTAAAAATAAAAAAATTAATAACCTAATAAATAAATAAATAAAAAATTGGAAAAAACAAAGCAAAAAAAAAAATTACCCAAAAAAAACAAATTGGAAAAAACAAAGTGAAAAATATAAAATTATAAAAACTTAAAAAAAGAAGAACATCAAAATTTTAAAAAAAATTTATAACAAAAAAAAGGGAACATAAAATTTTTTTTAAGTAAAAAAACTAATTCAAAAAAAAAAAAAACAAGAACAATAAACAAGAACATAAAATTAAAAATTAAAAAAAAAAAAGAGGAACATAAAATTTTTTTAAAAAAAACCAACAAAATTTAAAACAAAATAAAAAAAAAATCAGAAACATAAAATTTAAAATTAAAAAAAAGAAAAACAAATTTAAAAAAAAATCAAAAAAAAAATAATTATTTTCGAAAATTAAATTTCAAATTTAAAACCAAAAAAAAATTAAAAAAAAAAAATAAAAAGGCGGCGGCGCCTAGGCCAGACGCCGGTGCCGTGGTTCTGGCGCCTGGGCCAGACGCCACCGCCACCGTCACGGCGTCTGGCCTAGGCGCCGCCGCCGTGGTAGTGGCGTCTGGGCTAGACGCCGCCGCCGTGGTGGTGGCGTCTGGCCTAGGCGCCGCCACCGCCTCCGACCTTTTTTTTTTAATTTTTAAACACAAAATTAATAAAAAATACCTTCTCGCCGGAAAACCGCTGTCCACCCGCCGCCTGTGCCGCCACTTCCTTGCCGGGCCGCCTCGACATCGCTCGGAAAGTTTTTTAGAGAGAGAAAGTGGAAGTAGAGAATTGAGAGAAGAAATTGTGTTTTTTACTTTGAGGGCAAAAGTGACAATTCACTCTAATTTTGTGGGCTTTATGTGGAGATTCGCGGGCGATGTTTAGCAATTCAGTTACTCTTTTAGTAAAGCAAAGGAAGATAAATCAAGAAGCTTCCACATTTAGTTGCCATCTCATTAAAGAAGTAAAGTACAAAAACACCCCCACCTCTTTTTATTTTATTTAATAATTTGATATAAATAACAACTAATAAATCAGGACAAAATCCACCGCTAGTTCTTTCTCTGTCCTCTTTTTGTGATTTAGTTATAATTTTGAAGAAGCTAAAATAAGAAATGGAGCATGGAAAGCTAGGGAGGAAGTTTATGTTGCCAATATTGGTGGTAGATTTGGTAGTCTATCTTTTAATATTAAGCCTTGCTTCTTGGTCCCTTGACAAATATATCGATGGTCACCAAAATCACCATTGTAAGTCTCACCTTTTTCTTTCTATGATGATATATAAATTTATTTTACAATTTCAATATGATATATCATAAGACATAGTCTCAATAATGGAATCGGCTCCATGAATCAAGATTTTATCTCTTATGTTCGCCAATCATGATTTTATACGTTTTCAGTACTTGCTCTATATTCAATATACATATCGTATTCATTCGAATTTAATTGTAACGTTACTAGTTTTGATACCTACTATAACATCGTTTAATGCTACCTTCAAATTAAAAACTACGTTATGTCTAATATCTTTTTCTCAATAGTTTATTGTTAGATTATAATTTGGATTAATAATTGCTTCAATTTTTAAGGCTTATTACTTTATTAGTTATCCGTACAAAAATACGAGTTGCAAAAATCTCTTTTAAGTCAAAATTTGTTAATATTTGGGCTACCGGTGCTACATACGGATAAGAATATACTCCGTCCGTTTTTAAATGCTTGTTTCATTTCTCATACGCGGAGTTTTAGGAGAAATTGAAGAATGTAATAAAATATGGAAGTAATGGGGTTGGTGAAAAAATAAAAAATTATAAAAAATCAAAAGTAGTTGAGAGAATTGAAAGAGAGAGAATATGAAATTAATATTGTTGGGTCCACTTGGTGATAGAAATTAATAAAATATTATAAAAGCTTTCCAAATTAGGAAATAAAACAAGTATTTAAAAACGGTCGAAAAAAGAAAGTGGAGCAAGTATTTAAAAACAGAGGGAGTAGAAGTTAATTTCAACTCTCAAGTGCTTTTTCTATATAAATAAAAGTTGTTACTCATTATCTAAACCACCTTTGTAAGGATTAATAAAAAATATTATAATGAATTTTACAATGAAATTTCCCTTAAAAAAACATTTACAATAATGGAATTGAAGGACTGGTAATAAGTTAAATTTATGTGGATGTCAACCAAGTTCCGGTAATAAGTTAAATTTATGTGGATGTCAACCAAGTTGTTTATAAAATTAATGAGAGCTATATGTACAAGTCTGTGACATGAATACAAATCTTGCTTACATTATTGTCTCTTGTAGCACGACTTAAACACAAATCTCGTTAACATTAACGTCTCTTGTTGCTTCTATACCATATAATTAATTAATGATCTAATAAATTTATTCTTAATGTATAAACTCATAAGCAATATACCCTATCTAGTGTAACACAATATACATAATGTGTTAGATAGTGCTCTAAAAAACAAATGAAAGGCTTAATTATAAGTTGTTTGATCACAGTGTTAGGTGGAAATGCGGCTACAAACTACATGTTAATGTTTGCACTCTTAGCCGGAACCACCGGGATCGCATCGGTCATAGTGGGCATAGCACACTTTCGATCATGGTCGGTGTCAAGCATGGCAGCAGCCACCTCTGTCGCGGTCATCTCATGGGCTCTAACGGGTTTGGCATTTGGGTTAGCTTGGAAGGAGGTGAGGCTAGGTGGTTATAGAGGGAAACGTTTGCAAACGCTTGAAGTATTCATAATAACTTCTACATTGATCCATTTGTTGTATATAATTCTACTTTATGCTGGCCATTTTAATCAGAGATATGGGCTGTGTCATGGTGGGCCTGGCCCAGGAAGCTCAACTCGTGAAGCCCAAAAGACTACCGAAAGCGAACCTCCTCCTGCTGCTTGATTGGCTTTTTTTTTTTTTTTTTTTTTTTTTTTTGTCGTGACATTTACTCCGGAATTGTATATTGTTAAACTTTGATATTGCTAATACTTGTCGTACTAAGCTAGTTTGATAGCCTTTTCTAATCCAGTGTACTTTTGCTATGTACTGATATTTTGTGTAATTCCATAGACGGGCTGGCTAAATTCGTGAGAGGTGTCGTTTTAGTAGGGTCTTTTAATTCACCTTTTAAAAAAAAGTTTCTGATACCCTTTAAGGTCAAGTGAAAAACCCTAGTGCTTAATTTCATAAGTTGTGGTTTTGTTAGCGTAGATTACAATTGTGTCTGATTTGTTAGAATTGGATTTTTTATTTTTTTTTCTTCAAGATTATGTACTTTCTTCTTATACTTTTGTATCGTTTTGGTCGATTTATTATGTTTTAGTATTAAGTTAATAAGTTATGGATTATTATAAGGAAAAATTGTCAGGAATTACCCGCCTAATAGATCATTTTGTAAACAACTATTCGCTTAAAATTTTTATAAAAAAAACTACCCACTGAATTTAAAAAGTTTGACTGGCACTACCCATTTTGATTTTCCAGCAACAAAATCCGGCGAGTAAGGCTCACTTTTGTTTTTTTCTTCAAAAATTTAAACAGAAAATGATGAATAACTCAATTAAGAAGCCAAAACAAGTGAATTCAACATCAATTTAGAAGCATTACATATTTCTTAACTAAAATCACTATTACTTTCACCCTCTTTAATTGGGAAAATATTGTGTTTTTAGGTTGATTCATTGTAAAGGAAATAATGTTGGTCGTTATATACGAGGTTTCGGCTTAAGTTTTGGAGGAAGAAAATAAAATTCGGCCACACTTGCCGGATTTTGTTGCCGGAAAACCAAAATGGGTAATGCTACTCAAACTTTTTAAATTTAGTGGGTAGTTTTTTTGATAAAAATTTTAAACGGGTAGTTGTTGACAAAATGATCGGACCTATTAGGTGGGTAGTTCTTAGAGAGTGAGTGATAGATCAAGTGGTTAGAATTTCCCTCCCGATTCCAAGAGATCCTGGGATCGATTCTCACCCCCGCCCTTGTGGCTCTCTAAACACACACACACCAAAAAAAAAAAAAAAAAAAAAAAAAAAAAATGGGTACTTCTTAACAATTTTTCCTTATTATAATTATGATTTTGATTTGTAGGAATCATTTCCTTGTACTACCAAGTAGGCAAGTATTAATTTCGTATTTTGTTTTTTGACTATTAGCATTAGGGAGAATATTCTCAATATTGATTGTGTGAAAATATTAGGTACTCCGTTATATATATACTACTCCTTAATAACTAATTGAAGTCTCCATAATCAGATGAGTAATTTACGTTTTAAGGGTTAGTTGACTTTTTAAAAATAATTGGAAGTTTGAAAGTCAAGACTATGACCAACAAGTTGTAAAATTTAATGCTGCTGTTACGTTATTAATTTGCCAAGTTGAAATAATAATAATGCTGCATAATCATAAATTATTGAATTAATTTTTTAACGACTTAATCCCACATAATTAGTGGCTATCTACTAAGTAAGATTTTTGGCAAAACTTTTTATTATATAAAGTAGTCATCATTTAATTCATTTGATCACCACACAACTCTAGTTTTTTTGAGAATTAACATGGAGAAGCCGGGAAATGTAATTCCGATAGGTTCACCGGCTGTTGAACCGGCATATGCTCCGTTGATGGGGACTCCATCTCATGATCACGGCCAATGGTCTAATGGTCTTCTTGACTGCACCTCAGATATCGAACTATGTAAGTTTGCTATCTTCGTGTTCACAATACATACATATTTAAACATGTTATACACGTATATATATCAAATCAAAGGTGGTACAAACCTGTTATATATGAGATTGTCACATAATAATTTTTGTACGTAAGTATACAAAAAGTTATTTTCAAATTACTAGAATAGATCTTATCCGATATACGTACTAACCTTTGTTACACGTACGTACTGACCTTTGTTACATGTATGTTCTTGTACAGGTTGTCAAACAAGTTGGTGTCCATGCATTACCTTCGGGCAAAATGCAGAGATAATTGATAGAGGATTATCATGTATGTTATTGTCCTTCAAATTCTTATTAATTATTTTTGCATATCATTAATATAAGGGTATTTTGACTTTTACCACCTTCAAATAACCACTTAATTGAATTTACCACCTCCAAAAAAAAAAAGATTTACTTTACCACCTCATAAAAAAATTAAACATCAGTTTTACCACCAATCACCTCCAACTAATGGATTCCGTCCATAAATCCGTTAGTGGGGCCTACCTTGCACACGTGTCGCCATATTATTGGGTAAGCTTTAGAAAAAAAAGTTAAAAAAAAACAAAAAAAAAATTAAAAAACCCCATCCATCAACCGGTGGTTGCTGCCATCGTCGAGACCCCACCACCGGACCGACTACAACCTGCCCCACCACCTGACCGCTACGACCAGCCCCCCCCACCTAACCGCTACCAGCCCCCACCACCTAACCGTTACGACCAACAACCCCACCACCTAATAACTACCACCGCAACGCACAGCCACAACCACCGCACCGCACCGCACCGCACAACCACCACACCGATTTCGACCCCCTTTCCACCAATTTCCGACCTCAAAACCCTAGCCACCACCTAATCACTACGACCAACGACCCCACCACCTAACCGCTAACACCGCATCGCACCGCACCCAGCCACAGCCCCCACACCGGATTTCGACCCCCTTTCACCAATTTCCGACCTCAAAACCCTAGCCACCAAATTCCGACCACCCATATAGCCCCCCTAATTCCGACAACTCTTAAAACCCTAGCCACCACCAAATTCCGCACTCCTAAAACCCTAACCACCACCTAATTCCGATCACCTCCCTAGGTTACACCAAATTCCGACCCCTCCCTTGCCCCCACACGAAATTCCGACCAACCATGGTGTGTTAATTTCGTTGCTGGCTGGGTTGATATGGAAATCGGGGAAGATGAAGAAGAACCGTCAAAAAGGTGGGCCCTACTAACGGATTCATGGACGGAATCCGTTAGTTGGTGGTAAAATCGAATTTTTGGAAATTTTGGAGGTGGTAAAGTAAATCTTTTTTTTTTGGAGGTGGTAAATTCAATTAAGTGGTTATTTGAAGGTGGTAAAAGTCAAAATACCCTTAATATAATAATGGACTTTAATTTACTTTTAAACTTAAACAATACTAACTTCAAAAAGTTATTGTCGAACATGACCTAAGTTTGTAAATAATGACAGCGTGTGGGGTGAGCGGAGCTCTATATGGCATAGTTGGATTTCTATCGGGTTTACATTTTGTTTACGCATGCGCCTATAGAACCAAGCTCAAACGACAATATGGAATATCAGCAAGTCCTATTCAAGATTTGTGCACCCATATTTGGTGCCACCCTTGTGCCCTATGTCAGGAGCATCGTGAGCTTCAACACCGTGGTTATGATGTTCCTCTCGGTACGTACTCACTGTCTTTTTATTTATTTATTTTTATGTACAATGTATGAGGACTAATTTTCGTGAGTATTTTTAATAATTTTTCACATCGACTTATGAAAATGGTTAAAACACAACTTTAACTCTTAAATAAGTATTGATTAACATCTTTGTGTTGAACATATACATATAGCTTGAGACTAATTTAATAATCATGATTGATCTCACAAGAAATTGATTTTAATTTTTTTTTGTCCTTTTTCTTATATAGTAGGTAAATCATACTCCGTATTAACTAAAGTATAGATGGAGTACTAAAAAATTAATGAAAATTATGTTTAAAGTCAATAAGGTAGAGTATATTATACAAATGAAGGAAGAATAATAATATATTTTTAAAATTATCTTAACAAATTTGTAAGTCAACTTGTATATAATGAATTAATTTATAAATTTCGTAATATTAAATTAATATTATAAATTTATTTATTATCCATGGTTTTGTTTACAGGATGGTATGGTAATTTGGAGAAGCGAAACGGGGGCACGGGTATGGATAATCCCCCTGTGGTGCCGGGTGGTATGACCCGTTAGATCAAAGATGCATATGCTTTTATAGTTCATTTTCTAGCTTTGATTGGCTATTTTGTATGTTGTGTTTTTATGTAATTCTATTTATGAACTAAATTATACCTTCATTAAGTCCCAATGTTTAAGATCGTTTCCTTATTAACAACTTAATTCTTTCCAAAAAAAAAAAAAACAACTTACTAAGAAAAAAAGATTTATTAGCTAATTAATGCAAAAAAGTGTATTGTACTTTAAAATATTTATATTGTTATTATGGAGTGTTTGTGGTATGTGAATTTACAATTGTGTTTCGCTTTAAGTTTTGCACCCTATCTAACTATTAGTAATACTATCATGAGCCAGATTAGAGCTTCTATTGTATGATTGTAAGAAGATAAATTTTGGAAATGCGATCAAATTAAAATAGACAAGTAATTAGATTGATAGGCTCTTGAAAAACTTATAGAATCTTATATTTGAATAATAACAAAGAGGAAAAAAATGGTCATATTTATTTATACTCCTTTTTTTTTTTTTGACGGATTGTACTCTTTAAAAACCAGCGGTATCATTTCAATAATTCCTCTTTGAAATACTATAAATAATTCAAAAACTACGGATTATTATATGCTATAAAACAAAATATATATCTAAATAATCTCCTAGCTAAAACCCTAAATTAAAGAATAAAAATAAAAATTGTTAATTCCTTTGCATATTACAAATGATAACTTGGAGCACTACAGTTATATGATTGAGCACCGAAACCCCAACTTTAATCATGATGTCAAGCATAATATCTTAGTGGATCCTTAAGAATATGTTATTTGTGACCAAAATTATAAGGGTTTGGTCGGGTCATGACCTATCTTATCCGGGCCCCTAACCACAAATACATACAAGGTGGTGACTTGGTTAGTGTGGAATTTGGTGTGAAAATGTGGACTAACATAAATTATCATAAAATAAATTTAGTGAAATAAAGAAATTAATTGATTGACACCAAAAATGAAAGTGGAAATTTAATCCACATTACATAGTCATTTGATTGACAACAATAGCACAAAAAGTAATTACTTTAGCCTACTTTTTCCCTTGGAATGGTTGGTGGTTTGTACAGTACAATTTTTGACATGGACATGGTAAATCATATCAAACTTTATGCATACCATTAATATTTTAGTGTGGATGGACTTTACTAATGAACTGATCAAATCTCTCATAAGCCAATCCAACTCAGGTTAGTGCGTCGAAGATTCCAAGGGAGGAGGAATAATTAAAAGAATCCTCACTTCTAAGTTGTCTCTAATAAGAATTTATCTATAAGACACAATCCTTACCATTAAGCCAAGTAATAGTTAGTTAAGAGAGTCTGTATTTAGGCTGTGTCCAAATTGTCCCAATTTAGCTAGTTGGATGCTCGATCAAGCCCGTATGGTGGCCATCTATAGTTCTATACCAAATTACCAAAATGCAATCAAACGTACCCGTCTGTCCATGTCTATACAGGAGCCTAGGATGGATGGATATGGCTAAAGATTGTCACTTCGTGTGTTTATATGACTATGTTGTCTACGCTTCAAACCAAAACTCTTCCTAACTAACGGGGTCCAACTAGTACGACTAGTACATTTTTTGTGCATGTGGCAGACAAGTAGAACACTTCTTTTTTGGCTTTCCTACTTGTTGATATGCTTTGGCCCTTTTCTTTGGCTATAAACTGATTAGCATGTAGCACAACAAAGTTCCAATCATACATCTAACAAATGACAAACAATCTTTAGTGCTCTTTAAGATGGTCCTGAAGTATACTCAACCTTTATGCCGTTTTATTGGAGGACTTGAGTGGAGTGACTTGGCCTAAATTGGTGTCGGAGGGCTGTGGAGGGGTGACATGACTCATTTTTGGCTTAGGATGATGGGTTGCTTTCTTTCAGTTTTTTCTTTTTTTAGTTTAACTAACTTGTTCTGCTTGGGGCTTTAATTCGGGCCTTTGCCCCTGTCCTTCACCCCCCCAAAAAATAAAAAAATAATGAGACTACAATAATTACTATAATGATCAAAATTATGTTTTATTTGACTTATATTCTATCATAGTTTAATAAAACTCATTTATGGCTATACGATTTATTCATCTCAAACTTGTGAATATATATGCCTAAACTTACTCAAACTTATTTTGTAACGATCATAAAAATATAATCCAAGTCATACTATTTATCAAGTTCATTCACCCCACACACCTACTATACTATTTTGTAATGATTATAAAAATGTAATCCAAGTCATTCTAATCATCAAGTTTATTCACCCCACACACCTACTATACTCTTTTGGACTAAAGATTGAGACTTGGTCCCATTCTAAAAATAAAGTTAGAATTATTGTGTTTATGGTTAAATTAGTTACTCATTTAAATTACAATTACTCCATAAATTGTCATTCTTATTTGTTTAACATAATTTGTACCCATACTAACATGACAATAATATTTTATTGGATTTCTAACATTTCTATAATAGTGTGATTTAATTTGATGGACACATAGAAGACCCTACCTTCCACTACATACAAATGCATTTTAACCAGCACTATATATTTGTTGCTAAATTTCCCCAACTAAATCATTAGAAATCTTTCACTTTTTTTTTTAGTCCTTCAATTAATAATTTTAGTTTGATTGGTTTATCTATCATACATTATTCATCACCATGAAACAGGCAGAGCATCAACCAGCTACTAGTGACTTTACTACCGGTCTTTGTGATTGTTGCTCCGATTGTTCAAGCTGTAAGCACTGCTCATCAACTCATTATTCTACTACTCATTTCGATTTTATCTCACAAAATGATTTCAAAATATGAATGATTTTAATTTTACCATAACTAATAATTATCTTTATTTATGTAAAAAAATTGATTTAAAGTAAATATGAAGTATTTCAATTTCGGACCACACATTAATTGAACAAAATCTTACATGATAATAGTATAAACTACGTAGTATTAAATAATTTAATAATTTATGCTACTTCGTATAATGTTAAAGTATCACCCTTATTTCAAAATTCAAAATTCAGAATTTTTTGCAGGTCTTCTTACATTTTGTTGCCCCTGCATTTCCTTTGGACGAATTGCAGAGATTGTCGACCAAGGCTCATTATGTAAGTTTTATATTGACATCGATCGATATGCTACCAGATATACGTTAGGTATATAAGAATACAAGTACTCCAGTTTTCTAAAAAAAAAAAAAAAAAAAAAAAAAGAATACAAGTACTCCATATGTGATTAATCGTGTACATAACATATACGGAGTACCATTGTTTTTATGTTACTCCGTATATGAATTAATTTCTGATACTACTACATACAAAGTTGTAACAAATTAATTGTTCAATTGTAAATGTTTAAATTAAAAATGAATTTGGTGGTGCAGCATGTTGTGCTGCAGGAACCTTCTACTTGGTACTTGCAACCTTTGTAGGGTTTCAATGGATTTACACATGCACATACCGTGCAAAGCTTAAGGCTCATTTTGGGATTCCGGAAAGCACCTGTGAGGATTGTTGCATCCACTTCTTTTGTCAATGTTGTGCCTTGGCTCAAGAGTACCGCGAACTTAAACTCCGTGGCTACAACCCTGCTCTTGGTAACTATCTATAACCCATCTCTTATCTATATATACATTAGTTTTGAATTGACGTACAAATCATCGAGGTTATTTGGGGATTCCCTTACCCTTATCCCTTCTGTCGCAATAATCCTAGCTCCTAAGGTGGGATCGGGGACATGTTATGGGTTTATTAGGTTCATTGAATAGTCTTTTACTTTTTCTAATTAATAGAGTATAAAACATATTCCTGGGTCTCAACCATCAGCTTAAGCTTTTGGTTGAGATGGTCCACTAACACTAATATATATATATATATTTTAAAAATGAATATTTACTTTATTAGAAATTTATGTGATAATAATTAAAGTTTGTCATTGTATTGTGTCTAGGATGGGAAGGAAATATGGAGAGACAAAAGCCTTCCACTGTGCCTCCTCAAATACCTGTGGGCATGATTAGATAATAAATCTCACGTACAAGGTACAACAAAATGGAGGATGAGAAATTATCTTTGCTCTCTATGTATACTCGTATGTATATACAGAGTATATGGTATGATAATATATATGTACTCTATATGTTGTATGTAGCTTTAATTTTCTTTGATATACCCCTAGTCTATCTCAATTTCTGTATCAATGCATTACTTGTGTATGTCCATCATCTACTTTTATGTTGATAGTCCACATATAATGTGTTAAAGGACCATCTCAACCAAAAGATTTAGATTAGCTGATGGTTGAAGCACATGATTGTGGTTTATACGCAATCATAGAAAATGCTTAAAATATACATAGTATATGGTAAGAGAATAAAGTGATTATTACCATTTGACATCCATTGTGCATTTGATTTGTATTGCGTTATACGTATTGTTAAATTTAGGCTACTTACAAGCCTAAAGGATATTCATATTCTATAATAAAATTAATTGGACCAATAATTGGTAACAATAAGTGTAATTGCTCTAAAGTGTAAAGTGATATCTTTTGTCTTCTATCTTTCTCTAATAAGAAATTGAACAACAACAATTCACATGTGATTAACAGTGAGACGTACTCAAAACATATATACGGTGTACAAATTAATATATCATCAAATTAAAGAACTATGGAGTATGACTCAAGTTTTTATACAGTAACCTCAAAGACGACGCACGCGGTTGTATATGTGGTGGTGATGGTGATGTCGACGATGAAGATGGAGACGGAGGAGGAGGATGTGGCTGTGGTGGAGGGGGTGTTGTACGTTTGAAAAAGTCAAACCTTGTTGGTTGTGTAGTCTCTTTCTATCCTCATATTAATTGTTTGATTATTATTTGTTGTATATGTTGTAATCTTGTAATAATGTAACTATGTAAGTGATAGATATCATATGTAAATACATACACTTGTTATTTTATAATTTTGTACATCTATCTATCTATTTTCGTTGTCAAATAATTTTATTGATCGATCTAAGACTTTATCAATGTCTATAAACTTGCTGAACTTTCAGAGAAGGTAACACAATATATTAAGATACATTATTACTGTAATTTAATATTTTTAATTAGTCAACAACATATATAGATATGATGATATGTAAGAGCCCATGTATAAAAACTAAGGAAGAAAATAATAGAGGAGCTAATTTATTAAGTGTGATCAAATGGTGAGGTTTCTAAGTTCTAAGCATGGTGAGAATGCTTTAGTATGGAATGGTGGTTTTGAGTTCCTTGGAAGTATTGAGGGTGTCTTGGTGTTGATATGTTTGATGGTTTTGTCTATTTCAATCATGTCAATGATTTTAGTTGCTTGTGCTAATCACTTTGGTCATCCAAGAAGACGGCGGCGTTGGGGTCGTGGTGGTGGTTTTGGCGGTGGAGATGGAGATGGAGGAGGAGGAGGGTGTGGCGGCGGCGATGGTGGGGGTGGTGATTAATTAATAATTATCTGGGATATGTATATTATTCATCTGTTGTGTTAAGAATGTTGAATAGTTCATTATTGGTTGTGTGATTCTTTTGTGATTTTTCCCAATTCAATTATTTTGGTATTGTGTGTGGCATTGCAAGCTGTAATTTGTTATAAGAGATTTCTCATCATATAATAATACTTATGCATAGACTTGGTGTTGTATCTATCTTTCCAATTTCCATAATCTAATACAAGTATAATTTTTAATTCATCTACTTGTTTGCTTGTCTAATAACACCTTGTAGGAGTTTTAAATGGAGTATTGTTATGTATTATTTAATTTGCTGGTACATAACAAGAGCATAAGGTGATAGGATCACATTTTTTCTATTTTAATTTTCAGATTTTAGCTGTATCATTGTAGCCATTTAATTTCCATTACAACCAACTATAATACTGTTATACTATTAGTGGTACAATTCCACAACCTACTGGTACATACGTAGTATATATTAGCTTTAAAAGTATATCATTCTAACAATCTTTAATACCATTATAAATTTATAACCATTTATAATACTACTCCACTTTCAATGGAACATTTCACATCTTAGTGGTACCAATATTAAGTTGTCATGTTCGGACTCTATTATCACAATATGTTTGGCCTCTGCACCCAATCAAAGAGTACCATGCAATATAATATCTAGAGGTTCAATTGCGAAACTAGGCGAGCTTTCTAGTGATGCTACTGTACGCAAAGCGAAGCCATGCATAAACAATGCGATGAATCATATGGCGAAGCAATACTGTTGAAGTTTATCCCACCAAATAACATATGTAAGAGTCTCGCATTGATAAAAGAAAAGAGAATTAAACACTTTATAATGCTAAAAGGCTACTCTTCCTATTACCATATAGTTTTGAGATGAAACTTTTTTTGGACTTGCGAAGTGTTATGGATCTTGTCTTTGAACTACTAAACTTCAACGATTTTTTTTACTCATTATATCAGGCTTACTAAAGTTTGTAGATAATTAACTAACATAGTTGATTAAAAATTTTAATAGCTGGGTGATACTCAAGACTTGAGATCAAATTTTGTTTACATCACTTGCCCTTTAAAAAAAAAAATACTTAAAAGTCAAGCCTAAAGCCTTAGCTTACCCTTTCTAATAAATAAATAAATAAAGGATGGAGCCATTGTATGATTCCATGTTAGTTTCATTCATTATTTAAAGCTTAGAGTATATTTTGACAGTACATTCCTGATATGTACATCTTGACTAAGCTAAATTTAGTTATTTACTATGTATAAACATCTTTATTTTGTAGCTTAATTATAATTAACTAAGAATTATACATTTTAAAATTTAAATGAACTAAGCGTTGATTAAGTACGGGAGAATTGATTCTCTGACTAAGTACCTATTCAACTGGCCTCTAAGACCAGTAAAAGTATGACATATTCTTTGAGATTTCAAGCCAATACACTCTACCTATATATACTCTCCTATTCTTAAGCAACTTTGTTCATTAAGCAATTAATCCAAATTTATAAGCCACAATAATTATAATTTGTGGCTAATTTTATTGCTTAATTGTATCATTAAGTCATGAAGCAACAACAACCAGCAATGGGAGTTCCGGTGGCCGTGCCGAATGTTCCTCCATTTCAACCCCTGAATCAACCCGGTGCTGCTGTTGCAAACTTCTCTACCGGTCTTTGTGATTGTTTCTCTGATCCTTCTCTTTGTAAGTCCCCCTTTGACCCGGCCTAGGTACGTATAATATAATACACAAAATTACACCATCTTACATTCTACTCCGTACGAGTACACAAACAGGTTGCATGACTTGTTGGTGCCCATGTATCACATTTGGACGAATAGCCGAGATAGTTGATAGAGGCTCCTCATGTAAGTATAACACCATAATATTTAATATACTATAATATAATATATCGATCTTCACCTTTTACTTTATAAATAAACATTATCTTTAAAATAAATTACTACCTTCGTTTCTAATAAAAAGTTTACATGTCAATTGATTGTACATTTTGTCGTGAAATGTAGCATGTGGAGTGAGTGGGGCGTTATATGCACTACTTTTGGGCCTGACGGGGTTTCAATCCATATATTCATGCGCATATCGATCAAAAATGAAGGCCCAAATGGGAATGCCGGAGGATTGTTTCGGAGATTGTTGTATCCATTTTTGGTGCGAGTATTGTGCATTATGCCAAGAGTACCGTGAGCTTCAACGCCTAGGCTATGATCTTCCCCTTGGTAATATATTACTAGATGTAAGCCCGTGCGATGCACGATTTTTAAATATTTCATTTTGTATATTTTTTTTTGTAATTTCTTAATATTTTTTGTTTTTATTTTCTATTCTATTATTTTAACATTAATTTAAGGTAAAATATTTTGTTAAGTTTTAAATTATTCCTATTCAAATTTTACGTATATAGAACTTGAATTTATAAATTGATTGATAAAATCATTAAATCAAAATATATTTTTTAATTTCTAATTATTTGTTAAAATAATATAAATCCTAATGTAAAAGATAATAAAAAAGATAATTTTTGTTTTTTTTTCATAATTTAAATCTTAAATTACTATTTTTTTTGTTTTCAATTCTCAAATTTCATTTGCTAATTTTTTCTTAAATGGCGATGAAAATTTAAATTCAAAATTAATATATAAATCTAATTTTTCATTGGTCGAAATATTACTTTTGCTTATGTGGCATGCGATGCACGAATTTTTATATACATTTTGTATATAAATATTTTTTTGGTGATCTCTTAATTTTTTTTCTTGCATTATAAGTTTTTAAATTTTGTATGAAAATATCGTATCATCAAATATTTACATAAAACCATTAACATCAAATGATAATTTATATTTTTTAAATATCAAAATATAATTTTTAGTTTTTTAAATAATATAAATCCTAATATCTAAAGATAATTGTTAGTTTTGTAACAAATAAAAATGAAAAAATTTAGTGCTCTTAAATAATTAAAATCTTAATAAATAACTATTCGTCGTTTTTACCTACGTGGAAAAAATTTAAAATTTCATTCGTCACTTTTGTTTAAGTGGCGAGTGATTTTTTTAATTCTAAAATAAAATAGACATCTAATTTTTAATTGGTCGAAAATATACATTTTCTTATGTAGCGCTCCCAATGCTCTCCAAAAATGCCTACTTTATTTATATAATAATAATATATATTAGACTAGTTTTAAGTCCCGTGCCATGCACGATAATAAATTTTAAAAAAAATTATTTTAAATAAGTTGTTTTTTTTTTAAAAAAAAATAGTTATATGTAACAAATTAAATTAAAAAAATAAATAAATGTAAAGCAATAGTTCAATATATAAACTTACTCGGTTTTAGACATATTTAAATAGACAAGTTCAAACACGCGACATTTTAGACTTTATTGGAGCATTCGCATTCTATCACTATTTCATTCCCTTTGGTTTTTTATCATCTTAAATTCGGCTAAGTTAATCTATGTCTTTACCAATTTTTTTTATTATATATTTATATTTTTATGGATACCATCTTGAAAGACGTATTAGTTAGTGAGACTTCAGAAAGATAAATACATTCAAGAAAAATGAAATCATAACTACTAATTCATAAAATTTTAAATCAAAACCATGAATAAAAAAATCTTTCCAACTGCCTCTACAACTTAAATGAAGATTCTAATGTTAATTTTGTATGCATATCCTTTTGGGTTCATAACTTCCTGCTTTCCACCGGTTTTTACAACAATAAAATTTAAATTGCACTCCCTCATAGTTTACTTATTCCTCAATTAAAAGCTAGAAAATGTATGTATGACAACTATATGAACAAAGACTTATTTACACATGTCTACTTTTTTTTTTTTTTTTTTTTTTTTTTTTTTTAAATATACATATGTCTCTTTAATATTCCTCTTTTATCTCATAATATTTTACACAATTAAAATGTTCTAATATCAATAATTATTTTAAAAAATGCATACATAGATTAGCTATATTAGCCCTATATCGAGCTATATCCAAAGCCTCTTTTTTTTCCTGATATGATCTATGAAACTATTAATTATTTTATATGTAAAGACAAAGTTATATTTAGCTAGTATTGATGTAGTATGCAAAACCGTTCAAAAAAAAATAAAAAAATCTAGTATGCAAAATGTTTAGTATAACACAATTTTTGTCAAGCTTTAATTTAAAATATTTAATATTTTGTACAAATTTGTAAATGGTATGGTTGAATTATTTATTTTACTTATATTGTATGTTACTAACTTAATATGTTCCACCTTCCAATTGTTTTCCTTAATTTCCTAAAATAAAATATAGGAGAAGAAAAAAGGAAAAATAAAAAGACGGGAAAATTATTCATCATGTAGTGACAAGTGTCATTACTTATTTGCTTTTAGTATAGGTTTATAGATTATATTAATCTCTCTTTTATTTGATTGTTCAACATTTATTAAAATAGATTTTCAACAAAATCATGCATAAATTATGTTGTTTATTATAGGTTGGCATGGTAATGTGCAAAGACAAAATCAAGGAACCGTGATGGCTCCATCGGTGCCAGGTGGCATGACTCGATAAGCCGGATGATTTATTTTATGAGTAACCTTGGGAGATAACTTGAAAAAAAAATCGTATATATTTGTAAAATAACATAATGAATGTATACTATTCCTTATGATGAATGTATGTTTTATGAAAGTGAGGGATAACTCTAGTGGTTAGAATTTTCTTCCCGATTTCAAGTTGATCGAATGTATGTTTTTTTTTTTTTTTTTTTTTACCAGTATTTGAGAGAGAAATTAAATGTATCATCTTATGTGATTTTATTCAAGATTTCTTTGTAAAGTTTGAGCTAGTTTGATTACTCAACTTGCTTATGTAAGAAATAGTCTTTTTTTTTTTTCTAAGAATATATGAGCTTGTATAGATCGTCTATCTCCCAAGCTGTTAGAGCATTGCCACTAATGGGTATTTTTTGGTTGCCCAATCTCTCTCTAACCATTTTCTCCCTCCTCCTCCCCATGGGCATTTTCTTGGTCATTTTTATAATGGTCAAAAATTATAATCCCCACCATTCTCTCTCCTATTTTTAACCCTATACCCCACCAATATTTATCTCTCCTACACATCATTAAATTTGTAATTTAGTATTTCTTAATTTTATTGTTAACAAAATTTTGTATTGATTAAATTATTTATGAGTAGTACAATATTAATTATTTTTAATATTAATTTTTGCAAAATGTATTTTTTAATAAAATAATAATATTTATTCTTAACTAAATTTTTTTATTGATTAAATTATTTATGAGTACAATATTAATTATTTGTGTCATTATTTTATGCGAAATTTCATTTTTCATTAGTACAACAATAACGATTACAACATTGGAACATAATGATCGTACACCAATCATACAAACCAAATAAATTAACGATTACAAAACTATTTATTCATTACGACCGTATTTTTTCCAAATATGCTCAACTAAATCATCTTTCAAAGAAAAATGGGTTTGGCTATCACGTAGGGTAATTCTTCTTTGAATATACGCGTCAAAATCAACGTTTGGTGGTCGGCCAACGTCAAATTCGAAAGGCTCGTTGTTATTCACTGTGGCACTTGTACTCGGACCGGACCTTGCTCTATGAAGCTGAGGGCGATCTTCTTCGTAATACCTTCTCAAAATTTCGGCACGAGTGTAATTGTGTCGTTCATCCTCGACAATCATGTTGTGCATAATGATACAAGCTTTCATTATGTCGCTCAAAATGTCTTCGTCGAAAGCAAGTGAAGGTTGTCGTAATATGACAAACCTAGCCTGTAGAACTCCAAACGCACGTTCAACGTCTTTCCGAGCTGCAACTTGTTTATCTGCAAATAACTTGTCCTTCTGGAGTTGAGGATATGTGATACCTTGTATAAATGTTGCCCAGTTCGGATATATACCATCTGTTAAGTAGTATCCCATGTTGTACTCATGGCCGTTTACCATAAAACTAATTGGTGGTGCCCGACCTTTCAAAACATCGTCAAACACCGGAGAGCGGTATAGGACGTTCAGATCATTACAAGAGCCGGGTATTCCAAAAAATGCATGCCAAATCCATAAATCTTGATCCGCAACAGCTTCGAGGATAAGGGTTGCATTCTTGCTACGACCTGCGTATTGTGCTTTCCAAGCCATAGGACAGTTCTTCCACTCCCAGTGCATGTAGTCGATGCTACCGATCATGCCCGGGAATCCACGCATTTCATTTTGGTGAAGGATTCTCCTTAAATCTTCATCTGTTGGACTTCTTAAGTACTCGGCCTCAAAATGCTTGATCACCCCTTGAGTAAAATGTTGCATTGATTTTCTAGATGTTGTTTGACCCATGCGTATGTATTCATCTACGGCATCCGGAGCAACACCATACGCTAACATTCTTATTGCAGCGGTGCATTTCTGCAGAGGTGATAAGCCAAGCCTACCAGCTGCATTCCTACGCTGCTGGAAGAACAAATCGCCCTCAACCACTTTATTCATAATCCGACAGAATAAAGGTTTGTGCATTCGAAATCGACGCCGAAACTGATTTTCGGAATACACAGGATTTATTGCAAAGTAATCATTGTACAATTGCAAATTCCCTTTCTCCCTTTCTCTATCTCCCCTATGCTGCGGAACTGTTTCATCTTCATTTACAATTTCGGTCTCGGATGGAGGTGGTTGAGGAAGCATTATGTTAGGGAAGTGATTTGTGACAAATTCGTCAACTAGATTATCAAATTCCGCATATTGATCTGAATCAGAAGAATTTGAGCTTGAGGTTGAGCTTATGGAAAACATTTTTTGTGTTTGGTTTTTGAATGTTTTGGTGTTGTGGATCAATTTATGGATTTCACACCTTTAAATAGGAAATGTTATCAATGCATGTCCTTCAACTGAGTGTGAACTGACTACTCAATGTATAGTAAAAACAAAATACATGACTACTCAATTCTTAATAATCAATACCAATGCTTGTCATACGGTTGAAGTTATGTATGAAATGACTACTCAATGGTTGTATAAAACAAAAACTACAATTGGACTTGACTACTTTTTGGGATTTGACAGTTCAATGGTTGATAAAACCAACCACTTGACTCATAATTATATAAGACAAAAATCTACACAGTAGCTAGTACTTCACTTATAATTGAACAAAATATATGAAAATGTAATATAATTTGATAAATTTTTGGAACATAATTAATAATAAAAATTAATTCATTGCAACATAAAATAAACAAAATACTTGAAATCATAATGCATAATAAACTACTCTACTTTCCACCATACACTTCTTGAATTAGTTCCTCCTTCCACGCTTCTTCAGTTGGTGTAAGTGGCGTCGTTTTGGACATAATTGCTTGCAACATATCAAATTTCATCTTCTTCTTTTCCTCTTTTCCTTTTCCCTTTCAAGCTCCAACCTTTGCTGCCGTAAATTTGCCTCAAAGCTTCTAACTTCAGTACAAGCCTGTATCTGTTCACCAATACTTAAAATTGCACTATCATGAGCAATAGCTTTTCCCTTACGCTTAGCCTTTGCTTTTTTTACCCCGTCGGGTCTGGGTATACCTCCTGATGAAAACCCACCAACGGGAACATCTCCTTCAGCTTCACTGTCAGTTCTCGATCTCTTTCCACTTCCACTGCTATCCTCGGTGTCCCCTTCCGGACGTAGTTGACAATCCTGTCGTTCCTTTAGTGACAATGCCCATCTGAGTTTCGGCCTCCACTTTGGGTCATTCTTTATCATTTCCCAAGCGTGGGGAAAAACAAAATTGTGTGGTGGTTTGGCTGATATATGGAACAACTTCGAGGCCTTTTGAATTCGATCAACTTCGTTGAATCCACTTCCAGTTAACGGACCCGCTTCATCATAACAACTTGTCCATAACAGTACATCTGCCGCCATCCTTCTCCAACGGTTCTCCAAACTCTTTGCATTTCTGGGTGGTAGTATTTCTGGCTTCTTAGCTTGAACCATGTCGTACGCCGCAGATATTTGTCGCCAAAGTTCAGCAGCTTTCATGCCCGTACCCACTATCGCATTTCCACTGTATTTTAAATATAGCCCAATAAGAGCTTCGTCTTCTGCGACCGACCAAATACGACTAGCTTTAGCGAGTTGTTGGTTGGAACCCACACGCATTCTTTGAGTCGACGGAGGGTGTTGAGGTGTCTCAGGCACATTTTCTTCTTGGCTATCATCGTACTGAGAGTTACTTCCTTGGTAGACAGGAGGTGATTGCTCGTAATCAGTGTTTTCAGTTGGAATTTGTGGAGGTATTTCAAGTTGTGGAGGTATTTGTTGTTGTGGAGGATTTAGCAGAGAGGTGTTGCTCAATCTTTGTAGGAAAAGTTGAAATTGAGGTTGATTCATGAAATTCTCATCAAAATCATTACAATTTTGAGAAAGTATTGAGTAAAAGGGGTTATTGGGATCCATATCTATTTTTTTTTATTAATTTCAAAAACTAACACAATAATAACAATAATAATAATAATAACTATTATAATAATAATAATAATAATATTATTAATAACAAAAATAATAACGAACAACAATAATAATATTAATAAGCTAAAATAATAACAATAATAATTATACTTCCAATAATAATAATATTTATTTTAATAATAATAATAATAATAATAATATTAATATTAAAAGGATGACTAATTATGAGGGAGAAATTGAGAGAAAATGTAAATACCACAAATTTATGTGAATTTTGAAAATATGAAAATATAGGCAAAATGGGTCTCTATTTGTAGAGAATTTTTTTTTCTAGCCGTTGGTATATTTTTTTTTTTTTAATTTTATAAGCACAAAATACCCGTTACAAAATTGTTACCGTTGCAATTATCAGGAATTTCCTGATTGGTCCAACTCACCTGACAGGACGCGTGTCAGCGCCTAATTGGGCGTGCTGACGCGCCTGTCAGGGCTGCCAAAATCTTTTTTTTTTTTTTTTTCTGCTTTTCCTACCCTCAAAACGCAGCGTTTTGAGGTGAAGCAAAGCATACGCTTCCTCAAAACGCTGCGTTTTGAGGTATGCTTAGCAAAAAAAAAAATTAAATGCAGCTTGCACGTGGGGCCCACTTCTTCTTGGTCAGTTTTTTAATTTTGCCCAAACTTTGATCAAAAATTGATTTGCCCATGGGCATTTTTAATTTAGACCATTGATGGGGAATTATTTTTTTTTATTAAACCCCAAAAATTACCCATGGGCATTTTTCTCCCCATTGGTGAGAGTGCTCTTATAAATATTTGCATTTTTCATATTCTTTTATTTTGATAAATAAATTAGCTAGCTTCACTTTTTTTTTACTCTGTTCAACAAAAATAAAAGTATTCATAAAATATGAAATATAATATGATCAATAAATTTTACTCTATAAATATATTTATAACTTACAAATTAAAATGAGTAAGTGACGAAAATGGAATGGCAAATTGGCAATCCCATTATCCCAATTCCCAAGTCCTAAGATGATTTCAAACGACTATTGTAAAATTTTCAATACTGAAGGTTTTAAACCATTTAAAGCCTATCAAATTCAAGACAAACCTAATCTTCTAATCACCCATTTAAAACTGAGCCCCCATTACAACAATTAAGAGGTGATTGAAACCTCATAACCACTCAAAATTAAGTCCCGATTCCAGATTAGTCCAAAGAGTAAATCAGATAAACACACGGACAATGACGATTAAAAAAAAAAAAAAAAAAACGTTAATCTATGTCGTCATGCTCAATAGAAGAATTAACGACAAAACCATGATAATAAAACTCAATACTATACCCATCCTAAAGTCAACAAAAATGAAGTTCATGCCATCGCACATAGTCTGTACATACATTAGTTATCCAATTAGTTACATCATTATCACCTTATAATATACTATACGAAGTACGGAGTACTTCGTAGTATATTAATGTTGAATATTAATCAAGAAAAAGACAAGCAAAGTTTTCAAATAAGAAAGCAAAAATAGTACTCCCTCCGTCCTTAAATTACATTCCTCTTTTTAGCATTTATTCCTCACATAATAGAAATAAAGAGGAATGTAATTTAGGGACGGATGGAGACAATTACTTTGTATATTCTAACACCATTTGAGATTGAAAGTCCAATGATTTTGGCGACTACAGTAGAGAACTAACGTGCCTATATTTGTAACGACTAATGTGGAGTCCAATGATTTACGCTAATACTAAATTAAAGCAGCCACTTCCCAATTTGCCATGTGTCTAAACCCTAATAATACTATTATTACTAGCTTTAGTAAAGTTCTTGATGGCGGAAACTATGGCCAATTAGCCATCTACTTAGGAATTTTTATGTTGACTTTAATTTAATACGGAGTACCATTTGTTTCAAGTGTCTATCAAAGTTTGGGTGTCTTCCCATCATTTTTGGGTCAATTATTATTTAAAAAATTGAATCCTATCATTAACTTGTTTGAAGTACTTATCTACTGTATTTTATAACATAATAGTGCATATTTCATTACATGCAATCATACCGAGTATGTTTAACATTCATTTTTGACGATTAATATCTTTTGTTACACATTAATAATAATTTTTTATGCACTATATTATAGGATGAAAAGAGTACGCGATGTATAATATACATAACATTTATATTCAATTCATTGATCCAAATTAAAAGTATGTAAATATATTTCAATATGAATATATGAAAACACGTACAATAATATCTATTTCAATACCATTTTGCTCCATACTATTCTTAAATCTTAATATAATACTCTTGTCAAAAAAAAAAATCTTAATATAATACTACTCCTACACACATCCTTTTGAATATTACACTGTTATATAAGAAAAACGAGTACTAATTTCTTGATGACTCAATGTTTTAATTTTCAAAATTCAAAATCTTTGTATATACACATATAACTTTTAAAATTCCATGCATGCATATTGCACACAACCTACAATTTTATGATTTTATACGAGTAATTTTAAAAAATAATAGGTACTCCATAGTAAAAATCCTAAAAATTAAATTAGGGACTTTTTATTTTTCAGTCAAAAAAAAAAAAAAAAGAATAGACTCAATACTACGATATAAACTACTTTACTTGTGTACAAAAATGTTATTCTTCAAAAAAAAAAAAAAAAAAAAAAAAAAAAAGTACTGTACAAAAATGTCAAGATGGCCTACAACTTGCCAACAAATTAAAATAATACTACGTACTCCGTATTATTTTAAAGTATTTCTGGTAGGAAAGCAATAAAAATCATAAATAAAGATGATAACAGGAGATTATTAAATTATTTAATAATTTGTTGACCAACTATGAATGACGATTAATAATAATCTGACCACTATCTACCATTATCACATTTCCAGCGTGTTATCCGATTCAAGTTGCTAATTTTGAATTGACCAATTATTTTACGTATTAATAAACTACTTCATATAATTATATGATAATACAAATAACTTAGTTAATACTACTTCCTTGAAATTTCCAGCTTTGCTTTAATTTCATCCTGCCAAGACTACTATAAATATATGGACTAACTCCAAGTTTGATATAATATCACTTTATCATATATTTGTATACATTTTTTTACAAAGTAGAAACTTAATAAACGTTACATTTATTTTTTCGTGTACAATTATTATTTCTAGATAATAAAAAACATGAAGCAAGATCATCAACATGCAATTGGTGTTCCAATTTCAGCTCCACCAAATCAATCAGTTGCAATTGCTGGAGAGTTCTCTAGTGGTCTTTGTGATTGTTTCTCTGATTGTTCTCTTTGTAAGTCGGTCTCATCTCTATCATATATTCGCCAGGCCAGTTATCTTTAATCGTCTCCATATATTAATTTACTATATATACCATGAATTAACAACAACCCGTGCACCCTTGTAATGTTTGTTACTTAAAATTTAATACACGCGCAGGTTGTATGACATGTTGGTGCCCATGCATCACTTTTGGACGTATAGCAGAGATTGTTGACAAAGGTTCATCATGTAAGTATACAAGTCCTATGCATATAAATTATCGAGTAATCGATTGATCAACTCAATTCCATCAATTATGATGTAGTAAGAAGTATATTTAGGTTAATTTTGATTTTGTGAAACTTGATTAATGCAGCATGTGGTGTAAGTGGAGCATTGTATTCACTACTTTTGGTATTGACTGGATGTCAATGGATATATTCATGCACTTATCGTTCAAAGTTGAAGGCTCAACTTGGAATGCCAGAGAATAGTTGTGGAGATTGTTGTACTCACTTTTGGTGTGAAGCTTGTGCCTTGTGCCAAGAGTACCGTGAACTTCAACATCGTGGCTATGATCTTGCCCTCGGTAATTATCATTCATCTAATCTCTCTTTACATATTTATCGCATTAGGAATCCTCCTCGAGATAAAGAATTCTAATAGTAATTGCTCATACTTTTATAGAGTTGACTCGTGTCTATTATTACAGGTTAAAGGGGAAATTTTTTTGACAATTAAAAATTGAACTTATATTAGTTTATTTTAAATTGTTATGTGTATAGGATGGCAAGGTAATGAGGAGAGGAAAAACCAGGGGATGGTACCTCCATCAATGGCAGGAGGCATGACGCGATAAGCTGATCTGATAAGCATTTATTGAATTAATTCAAAATCAAAGATAATTAAAATACTGTGTTGCATACTTGTATTGTACTCGTAGACATGAATAAATTCTTGTGTAATTTTTAAGTTTGTTTGTATCAAAAGTCTAATTTTAGCTTCATTCCTTTCTTTTATTTGTTTAATTATTTAATTTTTTAATTTGTGAGGGTTTCACACTTTTTCTATAGAGAATAATTGAGGCCTTGAGGGTGTGAGCATGTGTACTGTGTACAATATTTGTTCCGGGTTGATGAATAAATAATATTTACTTTTGTATTATAAATTTTTATTGTTCTATTACACTTATTTGCTCCTTATTATTATATCAAAGTACAAAATACTACTACATACGTATGTGTTTTGTATCATTTATATCTTAGTAGTTGGTTTTCTTGATCAAGTAATTGAGGTTGCAAGATTTTTAATCATACACTACAAGTTAACCTAATTTGTTATACTTATATACTACCTCTGTTAATTATTATGTGCAACAAAGTGTATTATTTGTGAGAATAAAATATTCATTTATTGCACATAATAATTAACAGATGTATACAGTATATGAATCTTGTATTTGTTTTCTTGTACCACGTACTAATTTAATCTACAATACTAGCATAACCTTTTTCATACTATTCCACATCAGTTTTACAATTTTTCTTAGATTAGATTATATCTCTCGATCATTTAAATAACGACTATTTTGAGGAGTGGAATATCAAAATTCCATGTTTCTATATTAATTTGCATGCAATACAATGCAAAAAAGTATATATTCACCAAAGAATTCATGATACGCTACTAACATAGTATGCATACTTTGACCATTAATATGTTTAATTGTCTGCTAATATTAATATAGATTGGTACAATACATTGTAACTGATCCAACAACTTATTATATGATGGTTATACATTACTAAGATCGAAAAAGTTGACTTGGTACATTATAACTAATCCAAGAAATTGTTATAATTATTTACTTATACATTTGTAAAATTCAAGTCAAAGTCCCTATATAAAACAATCGTTTGCAGTATAAGTTCCTTTGAAAATTATTGTGTTTTAAGTTCCTTTCAAATTTTACTACGTCAATTCATTTTAGCGTGTACTTGACGTAGTGACGTCAATTTTAAATTCGACATGTTGCGTTTTTATATACCGAAAAAAGCAAATGAGATTAATTTGGAAAATAAAATCCCAGGATTGGATTTCACTTGAATACTTGATTGTCTACGGCTCCATTACGCGTGCTCGCGCGAGCTAAAAGTTTTGTAATTATGATCACATTGATCTTGAAACTACCTACCACTTTCTTCGTTTTTATAACTAGCTACTACACATCAAAAGTCCATCGTTTTTATAACTAGCTACCACTTTCTTCGTTTTTATAACTAGTTTCTATATGAAATTAAACACAATAATAATCATATTATATAAATATAAGGAAAAATTGTCAGGAACTACATGCTAAATAAGGGTATTTGGAAACAACTACCCACTAAAAAATTTTATCAAAAAAACTATTCCCTAAATTTAAAAAGTTATAGTAGCACTACCTTTTTACATTTTTCGGCGAAAAAGTCTGGCGTGTGGGGCCCACTTTTTTAATTTTTCTTCTGAAAATTCCTAATTGAAGAAGTGAAAACAAGTAGGGTATGTAATTCATAGGTAATTCTTCTCTTTTAATCCATTAATTATGAATTTTGATGTTAGGGTGTAACGATTAGAAAAATTAGGGTTCTTAGAAATTGGGGATAATTTGAAATTAATTGAATTTGTTGCTTTTAATTCAAATTGGTTATCTACTTAGGGTTACGAATTAAGGTCCAATTTGTCATTGCATCGTGTCTTTTCAGAGAAAAACTGAAAAAGTGGGCCCATGCACCGGACATTCTCGCCGAAAAATGCAAATGGGTAGTGCTACTTTAACTTTTTTAATTTAGAGGGTAGTTTTTACTAAAATTTTTTAGTGGGTAATTATTTCCAAATACCCCTATTAAGCTTGTAGTTCCTCACAAATTTTCCTAAATATAATTCAATTCACGAATTTATCAACTAGGAGAGGACCATGTGCATATGGAGTATGGACCATCTCCACTTTAAATAGGCTTGGCGGCTTTAGCAAGACCAAAGCTTTTTATTGTTGACTTTGATTAATTTGGCACAATCACTGTACCCTTCCTTTTCCTCCATAACAATCTTAATACTTCTTACAAGATAAGTAATGTTCGTTGACTTAAATACTTATTACTTAAAATACTTATATATACTTAATTGACCAATTCCTCGTCACAAAATGATACAATTACATAGATTACGAGCATTTTAAGATGTTCAAATAGTTTTAGGAATACGGTTATAATACGTCGTATAACTTAATGATATACTTGTAGTACTTAAAACTTGATTATAAATTATGTCTATATCATTAGTTTTAACTTTTAAATTTTTAATATATGACCTCAATTATAACAAAATACACACAAAATGAAACAAAAACAAAAATAAAAAAGGCTTCATATACATCTTAACCTTAATTTAAGCTCCTATATTACAAAAACAAACTTTTCTTGTTTGTTTATGAATTAATACTTAGTTGACCAACAACGACTAAGAAAAATCTTACCAATTCAATTTCCTATCCAAATTCTAACGTGTTAATCAAGCTGCTAATATCGACTACACATAGTAAGGGCCAAGGGGACCCTCTTAATACACTTGCCATACCTTGTTCCTTGAATTTTCTATCCTAATTAATCAGCCACCACTCACTTTTCATCTCTCATAAATTTAAAGTACCCACCACTTCGGCACTTACTATATATACTCTCATAATCCTAATCTTTTTTGTTCATCATCCAATATTACAATTAACTCTCTATACTCCACTCTTAAGATTTGTTTCTTGCACATATACATTTTTAAGTGTTGAATCATGAAGCAGCAACAATATCCTGCAATGGGATTTCCGGTGGCCGAGCCGAGTGCTCCTCCAACTAATGGTGGTGCTGTTGGAGAGTTCTCTACTGGTCTTTGTGATTGTTTATCTGATATTCCTCTATGTAAGTCCATCTTAATAATAATAATAATAATTATAATAATAATAATAATAATAATAATAATAATAAATTAAAAAAAATAAAAAAATACAATCCTCCTTTTCTCTCTTCTCTCTCCTAAACCTAGTCTCCATTATCAATTTTAAAGGGGCTTCCATCGAATTTTACCGGTGGAAAGCCTCAATCTTTATTTTCTTTTGGGAAATTCTACGTTATAACCCGCTACTTTTTGAAATTCTACGTTGTGCCCCTGGTTTTTGAAACTTCTACACTGTAACCCTAAGGTCTTATTGGTAACTCTGTTGTACCCTTGTCGTTAAGTGTCCGTTAATAAAGTCCCGTTATCCCAAAAAAATTAAAAAAAATTAAAAAGAAAAAATAAAACCAAAATCACCAATTCAACCACCCATAACCAGCCGCTGCAACCCACGGCCAGCCCTACCCCCGTCCCCTCGAACGTCGGACGCCTCTCAGACCCCCTTTCCCTCCCTCGGTGACTGCACAGCCTCGATGACCCTCCCCTTTCCCCGTAAAACCACTCGTAACCCCTCCCCCTCGAAAAAACACCTTAAATAACCTCCAATCGCCGGAAATCAACGATCCGCCATCTCCCTTCACCGGAGCCGTAGCCTCCGCTGTTGTTCCTTTTCTCTCTCTCTGCTCTAGCCTCCTACTGCCGGAAATTGAAAGTTAGGGTTAGGGTTTGGGATTTGGGGGTTGGAATTTGAGAGATTTTGTTAAACTTCGTGGTGGGTGATTCAAAGGGGAAAGGGGAGGTGGTCGGGGCAACACGAACGTGGGGGGAGGGGAAGAAATCTAGGCGGCCGACGCTCCGGGGGAAGGGTGGTGGGACGGCGGTGGCAACGGGCTGACCATGGGGTGGTTTTGGTGTTTTGATTTTTTTTTTTATATTTCATTTATTTATTTATTTAATTAAATAAATTTTTTATGTCTAACGGAACTATATTAAAGGTGATTTAGCATCAAGGGTACAATAGAGTTACTTACTATACCTTGGGGTTACATTGTAGAAGTTTCAAAAAGTCGGGGCACAGCGTAGAATTTCAAAAAGTAGCGGGTTATAATGTAGAATTTCCCTTTTCTTTTTAAGCTTTTTGTTTTAAGTTACAATAATGTCTCCCTTGAAATAATGGGTTTATCTCCTTCGAAAGACAAGGTTTTTTCGATTTCCTTCGAAAGACAAGGTTTTATTTGAGCTTAATCTGGTCTCCGGTTTTGCGGAGTTACTATTGATTGTGGCTCAGATTCGGGTTACGGAATCAGCACAAGAATTTACTTTCTCACAAAATTACGAAGCGACGACGGATCCACTTAAAAAGTTGTATGAGACAACGAATCGAGAATATGCCGAATTGTTATATTTATGTATTTGGGTTCTTAGCCCTTCCCCGATTAATTCTTGTTAGATTTTGTTAAATTCGTTTTCATTATCGTTCATTGTCAATTGTAGATGCCGTATGACTTATATTAATTGTCAATTGTTGTTAGATTTTGTTAAATTCGTTTTCATTATCGTTCATTGTCAATTGTCGTTAAGTGTCCGTTAATAAAGTTCCGTTATCCCAAAAAAATTAAAAAAAATTAAAAAGAAAAAATAAAACCAAAATCACCAATTCAACCACCCATAACCAGCCGCTGCAACCCACGGCCAGCCCTACCCCCGTCCCCTCGAACGTCGGACGCCTCTCAGACCCCCTTTCCCTCCCTCGGTGACTGCACAGCCTCGATGACCCTCCCCTTTCCCCGTAAAACCACTCGTAACCCCTCCCCCTCGAAAAAACACCTTAAATAACCTCCAATCGCCGGAAATCAACGATCCGCCATCTCCCTTCACCGGAGCCGTAGCCTCCGCTGTTGTTCCTTTTCTCTCTCTCTGCTCTAGCCTCCTACTGCCGGAAATTGAAAGTTAGGGTTAGGGTTTTAGGACTTTAAAAAAAAAAAAAAAACCTTAAAATCTTATTGAATTTTTAATTGTCCTGCATGGTAATAATTGATAAATTTCAAAATAATGCAGGTTGTTTGACATGCTGGTGCCCCTGCATCACCTTTGGACGTATAGCAGAGATTGTTGACAAAGGCTCATCATGTAAGTAGCACTACAAAATGTTACTCCTTTCGTCTCATTCTTATTTTGACGGTAATTGTCTCATAAAAAAAGTCGATATGATGGAATTAATGAATTTGTATAAATTGTGGGATGCAGCATGTGGGGTAAGTGGAGCGTTATATTCATTAATCATGGTAGTTGCGGGATGTCAATGGATATATTCATGTTCATATCGATCAAAGATGAAGAAGCAATATGGGATACCAGAGAACTGCTGTGCAGATTGTTGTACTCATTTCTGGTGTGAGTCTTGTGCATTATGCCAAGAGTACCGCGAGCTTGAACACTGTGGCTACGATGTTTCCCTTGGTACGTTATCAATACCTTATTTATAAGTACTCCTTCCGTCCACAAATAATCTTAACAACTGATCGTGTCATTTGAAATTTGTAATTAATGGAATTTGTATTTATGTTGTTTTGTTATGTGTCTATAGGATGGCATGGTAACATGGAGAGGCAAAACCAGGGGAGGGTGGTTCCTCCACCGATGCCGGGCGGCATGACCCGATAAGCTCAACACATATAGAACATTTCAAGATTATTACATACATGTTCATATGTGAAAAATACATGTTCAAGATTATTACATACATGTTCATATGGATGTCCTATATTTCGAGAATTTGAGTGTTTTACGCCTTCATATCAATGTGTAAATTGTCATATCATAGCAAAGATTTATGAATAAAAACAATGTTTCATCGTATATCATTCGTGTTTAAATACATAACTGTTTCATCTCCTTCAACCAAACATAAACAGAGGTCAGGGCAGCGAGAAGCCGAGAACAAAACCACTGATTATAATTCATGGAGTTTTAGATTATTATAATTGGCAATAAAAGGTCCGTGATAAGAATATTGGTTTCATATATAGCTTACAATTCATCATCATCAGCTTGCCATTAAACAATAGCCAAAGTATGTCGACCACCACAAGCTATAAGGTTAGCCCGCCAACGCGCTTCAGCTTTCTCCTCCTCACCATCATTTCTTGGAGGTGGGAGATTTATTGGTACTTCCATCGGATGACCGGTTGTGACCTTCCGTCCGTATCCTAAACGGCCATGGTCACCTCGCCCGAACTGCAAACAGAAAAAGAAGAAACAGCTGACAACAAAAACTGAGGAAATTAAATACTGAACTCTGACACACTGTAAACTGGCATAAAATCCATATCAGTGCAATATTAAGGTAATCACTTAAAATGATTTGAATACTGGAGTAGTATAATTTTGATGTATTTCAGACGAACAGACGAATAAATGAAACTGGGATACACATAATGTGTGATGCATTAATATTGAGTAAACATACAGCACTGTTGAAATTTTCAATCATATCACCAAAAAACCAAGCCTGTCCTGTGGCCAGTAGTCACTGAAAGGAGAGGAGCGAAGGGTGCTTACAGTAAATATTCGTCCGTCTCGTGTCATTGTAACTGAATGCGTTCCTCCACAAGATACCTGATGATCAAAAGTCAACGTCACTCTCAATAGGGTCAAATAAAATTGATTCGATGATTTCACGATAACAAATTCTTAATCAATCATATAAAAGCAGCAACAGCATTCCCATGAAAATAAAAAAATTAAAATAAAAAAAAACTTTGAACTAATTTCTCAGCACACTACTGTTCTACTGAGTATCTATATTGTACTACATGTACAAGCGCCCAGACATCATCATAGTGTACAAATCTTTAACAATTTAACTCTTAGGATTAGGATATCCCACAAGTTCACTGTCACGGATCCAAGTAGTCCAAGTCTCAATGCGGGTCAACCTCCTATGAAGGTCTATGCAAGAAGGGGGAAAGTCAATCAAGGGCAACTAAGGGCTGCCACAGAGAACAATCCCATGCCTTGACAACTCCAATGAAGAAGATGACAAATTAATTAAGAAGCAGGGATGGAAAGAAAGCAACTTTAGTTTATGTTGTTTATATATGTTTTTCCAAATTAGCTAAGTTTCACATGTAAACCTTAAGGTCATGTTGACCATCTTAGTATAAGAAGCATGGATAGTGTTAGGGAAGGATCATCCAGAAAATTAGCAAAGAAACATTGAGAGTTGCAACCTCAAGTTGCTAGAGAGATTTGCAACCTAAAGTTGCTATTGTATCCCCTGTTACATGAATTCGTCAATCAAATAGTCAATCTCCCCTTAATTATTGTCTTTCGATTACATTAGAAGTACTAGTCTATCACACTCACATGAGGTTTGAGCTCAAAAACCAAGCTCATAAGCATAATATAATCCATAAAAGTATTAGATATCTTGAGCTTTTAATGTTTTACAATCAGCGATTCATGCCAAAGACATAATGGAGCATGCACACTAAAAAGAGCTTAAAATCTGGAGAAACACAAGCATTTGATTGATATCTTTATAGAAGCTATTGGGAAGACAAATTACAAATGAAAAAAAAAATTAAAAAGGGCGAGCAAAGGCCTAAGGTAGTACGAACAAAAGTATTAAAACCATTTATGAGGAAGATAAGGATCTATTACATTCTAAGCAATCAAACTCTCCTAAAGAAAGTGGTTCTTGCTGAATTATCCTAAGAAAACGTCACAAGGGAGATTGCTTTGAAGCTTCAAATATCATACCTGAACTATATCTTCATTGGCTAAAAGCTGCACCTTCTGTGGCAACATTTTACTGCTCTTGTCATCTCCAAATCCAAGCCGTCCATGCTCTCCTCTACCCCAACCATACACCTTCAAGTAGCATTCAATGAGGAATGTGCTTAGCAACCAAAAAGATTAAAGGAAAATTTATGTCCAGCAAAGTAATGTACAGAAAGTGCGAGAAGCATCATATTTCCCTGTGTTTTCATAGCTGCACTACAAGGCATATAAAATACGGAACATAAAACATCACAATCTAGGAACGCATGCACCTTGATAAAGTAGCATGATTTATGTGCTAGGGGCATGGTAGTGACAAGAGTTAAGGAATAAGCAGCAGTAAGAGTCACAAGCCATCATGGCAGAGAGAACATGACAATATCAATCATTATGAGTTAATTAAACATTTGCCAGGATGAATAAGTTTCTTGTAGATGAAAGTGCATACCTCTCCTGCACTCGTCAGAGCAGTAGAATGCCACCCACCAGCAGCAATATCAACCTAGTCCCTCACAGACAACAAAAGTTAGGCTCAATGTACAAGTTCCTTCTTAAACAAAAGCAGCAATCCATCTAAGCATCATATATGACATAACGATAAATCTGAAGCAATGTTTTAAGAGAAATAATAAAGATATGAATGTCATAAATAAGAACCATCATTTAGCGAAGAAGATGGTCAGGTACAATCCAGAAAATCTACATCTCTAACTATCAGAAATACTACTCAATTGCAGTTATACCGATGACTAGGGAGAGAATTCCAAACACAGGATAGAATTCATAGAAACACCCAAAAAAAAATGATAAAGCAGTATGGAGTATGGACTATAAGAAACCATGTACCAGTGTAAGACCAGAAAGCCCCTGTACACGAATAGGCTGTGATCTAGGTTGAGTATCTCCAGTTCCAAGCTGCCCATACTCATTATTACCCCATGCCCACAACGTCCCATCTTCTTCAAGAGCCAAGTTATGAAATGCTCCCACTGCAATCAATCGCACTTTTTCAGGTCCTTGTACTCGAACTGGAACAAAAATTTGCTTTCTGATGGAAATGGAAGACAAGACACCAGGATAAGAAAATGAAACAAAAGATAACACAACACTTAAGCATGAACAATTTGTCTAGCATAACAAAGGGAGACTGGCATCTTTTATCCTACAAAACAAAACTAAAGATTAATATATGCAGCAGTAGGAATTGAGAGGAACCTACATATCTCCAGGTGGCCATGGCTGACCCCAAGTCCATACATGTCCTTCACGTGTAAGGACCACTGAATGTGTCCCTCCAGCAGCCACCTAAAAGAATTGAACGGTAAATAAAATTACTAGGTCCAACATAAAGGCACAAGCTGTGAAGCAGATTTTTTAGTCACCCCTCAAACTTAGAATTTGAAGATTAGTTCTTTCTAGCAGATCTCATACACCCCTCAAAGTTGGGAGTTAAACGGGTAGCATTTTCATTGCACAATATCTATACAGGTACACAACTAAGAAAAAAAAATCCAAGAATCCAACAACCATCCTAGTCAAAAACATCATCAAGAACATGATCATGAATATCTAACACAACCGAAAGCAGCAAGAAATTAAGAGCCTAGCAAATTTCTAGTATCCAACCTGGCGAACTTTAAGCTTAGGTGCACAACGTTGAGGAATTACAATATCCCTTCGCAAAAGCCTGCCAGTTTCATCCTTCTCGGGATCTTCACCACATTGCCCATACTCATTACCACCTACATCAAACCCATACATTTAAGCTCAGTCGCTCAGACATATAGATGATTTTGCTTTGCGATAGCAAACAATTTCGTTTACAGATTTTAAAAATTCCCATTTGAGCCTCTGGATTACCTTATTCCCATTTCAACAATGGTTTTTGTAATGATATCAAAGAACAGCTAAATGGTACACATACATGAGCTAACTAACTACTCACTTACAAGATTGCTATGTAACAATTAAAGATTAAAGAAATTTCTTTTCTTATAGTCTTATTGGATAGAATAGCTTGATCCTCAACTATAAAAACCTTAGGTAAGAAACCAAATTAAGAACAAGAACTGTAATAAAAACATGTACCCCAAGCATAAGCACGGCCTTGATCATCAACAGCCAAGCAATGCCACCCGCCAATGGCCGCCTGAAATCAAACACAATCCATCCACATTACTTCCACTAACACAAACAGAATATACCAAAACAACCCACAAAAAAATTTAAAGCAAATTTATAGACTTCACCTGTACAATTTTTACATTGGCAAGAGCTTTAACCTGAGTAGGCACATTCTCAGCCTTAGTCTCAGGTGGTTGCCCTAAAGTCCCTCTTTGATTCCATCCCCATGTAAACAACTATCAAAAACATCAACAAATTCCAATCAATTCAGCTGATTAAATTACTCCCAACTATTGAATTTGAATTTGCAGCACAAAATGAAATTTTCAGCAAAACCCACCAAAATTAAGAACAGCTTCAAACAAAAAATTAAAAATTTAGCACAACCCAGATGAAAATATCTAATCTTTAGTCCGAAAAAATTCTAAAAATCAAAAATTAACCTTGCCATCTTCACAAAGAGCGAGAGAGTTGCGACTACCAGCAACAACAGAGGAAACACTGTAATTTTGAAGAGCTTTAACTTGGCAGACCCATTCTTTATCTTCATTGTTGCCTATACCTAATTGTCCATCTTCTCCTGAACCCCTGCCACCATTAACAAGCAACTTCATTAGCATTCAATTAATTAACTATTAGTAAACTAACCCAGAAAATAAAATAGTTAAATATACAGAAGAAATAAGGGAAGAAGAAGTAAAGAGACCAAGCGATGACGGCGGTGTCTGAAGGCATAGAGTTGAAGAGTTGAAGAGAGAAAAATGTATAGAACGGCGAGAGTAACGGGGTTTTTATGTGAAGAAGGTATGAAACGAGTAATTGAGTAGTGAGGTTGTTTGATTGAAGCTTAAGCCTCTGTACTTGCCCTGCTTGGTATTTAGATTATGCACACGGGTGAAGCATGCTCCGCTGCGACGCTAAGGGCCGGTTATAATTTAGTGAACTGAGCT